GTTCATTGATCATGACTTGTAGATCTCGGCACAAAATGGATGTGAGTGGTCAGCTTCACGCTGCGGCTACTTTCCTCTCGGGAACATGCTCTCCAGTACACATTACACAGGCGGCTGCTCAAGTTCGAGCTTTGATCTGGATGATTCCTAACTCTGCCGAGAACCATTCAGTCATTTGACTCAGTAATCACCGTTAAGATGCTGCCAACGGTTGTAGGGTAAATTTAGTTTTGGTTCCGGTACATTGCGACGTATCTTCTTTATAGTTTGTTACATGCATTGGTCTGTATACAGTGCAATACAGTTCAGGGTTCCTGAATAGCTCAGTCATTATAGTGAGTAGGCTACGGGCTGGAAAAAGAGGGGGTGTTCGATTCCCGTCAGCACCCTTGCAAAAAACCTGCTCTGTGGCCCGTCAGCCTGCATGTTCATTGCGTACTGCTGTTGATTTCGTGTGAGTGAAGTGCCCACGGTGAACGGAGAAGTTCATGGACTTCATGGAGGTAGGCCTAGGCCCACTGGGGCTGTAGTGCCAAGGGGGGAAAAAAAGTTCCCACGACTAGTCTGTCAAAACGAAACACTCATTCCTTAATACTGTAACGTGTAGAGCCGTTACAATGCGACGAGCGTGAGATAGGCAAATATACCCGACCCGTTTCTAGGCACCGGCTCGGTAAACACGTTCCCAGAGCAGCGTATCGACGCGCAATAATAGAGGTACTTTTGGGAACGGTGTTCTCTACTCCGTCTATGCCGAGATGTTATAAGTAAGGGATAAAGTTAGAGCGCCCCACATCAACAAAACCGCAATTATATGACAGTAATAAAAATCCGATTATAACCCCCGATTGGTTGCTTTATTCCAAGACAGACTGGCCGACTGACCGTCGGCCCTAACATAAGACTCAGGCTCAAGAATTTATTTCTGTACAGGAGTCTGTGAAGAAAGGACTTGAGCCCGGAGGCAGAAGAATATCAATTGTTGGAACCGTTTCCAGGAAACGTCTAGTAACAGACTGAGAAAAGCAGACTGTGTGCTCTAGTGAGTTGCAATGTGTGGAAATAGCGGTAGTGTTATAGTTTTTTTATTGCTAGTGTGGTGGGACTAAGTCCCTCGTACTGCGGCCACTTCTGGCCTATTGTACCAGCCCCAGATGATAGGTGAGGGTGATTGTGGAGCAATTGGTGGAATGAAAATTGGCAGGGGAAACCGAAGTTCTCGGATAAAACCTGCCCCAGCGCCACTTTGTCCACCACAAATCCCACTTGACCAGACCCGGGATCGAACCCGGGCCGCCGCCGTGGGAAGCCAGCGACTAACCGCTTGAGCTATGGTGCGGCCTAATGCTATAGTTACTTGTAATTAAGATCCGTAAGTGGTCAAAAAATCCAATACCCAATCCAAAGCCCCAGTGACGGTCACTGCATGCTACGTGGCAATATAATCCACTTAGGGTTCGAAGGTGCGTCACTCAAAGTTGTTGACGTGGGTCGTTACGTCATCATTACAAAGTTACTAGATGCTGTATTCAGCATATTTTCCAAAGCACGGTTTATAGCTGGGGCGGAGCCCAAGGGCAATCAAAGTGTAGATTCCTGTCAGTAAAAAACATAAAGTTACGAGAGTTTTCTCTCTTTCTTCTTATTTCTCATAATAACGCGAAACAGAAACTAACTTTTCTTATAAGTATAAATAGTGTTGTCCCTGTGCTTAACTACGCTACGAAGGCGTGTGGGGGTAAGTGATATTATAGATCCACGTTTTCTTGACCTCGGCACTAGTTGGAGGTGAGTGGCCAGCTTCACGCAATGGCCGCCGTACTCCCTGGGAAAGAGCACTCGGTACACATTGGATGGGTTGTTGGATGGGCCCCAGAGCCTGTCTGGACGACATAGAGTAGAGAAAATTCTTGACCCTACCGTAACTCGCTCTCCGACCACTCGGTCGTCCAGCCCATAGCCAGTGGCTATCCCGTTTCCTCATTTTCCTTACAATAACTGAAAATACGAACTAACCTTTCGTGATTTTTAAGAAGAAGATATCCCAATAGAACCTGGGGATTCTGTTTTTGTTGCTTGGAGTCTCCAGGGCGACCACCTGGTCACTTCTGTATAAATCCAGCCCTGGATAGAATCCTTGGATTACTTCTGTCGTTGCAGTCTACCAGTCATGAGTGAATGCAGTAACATTTTTGTCTTGTGTTTGTGTATGATTCAAGATTGTATATCATCTGCCAGTTTATGTATGAAGGAGAGTTAGTAAATAGATCACAAATGTCTAAGGCTCATTAAAGGAGTGAAAAACAGGGTGTCCTGTACAAATCTGTTTGGTGAATTTAAAATTTTAACAGTAACTTCTTTATATATTCGTATATGAGACCTTATGTTTTTTAAAAAATAACAAGATTTACAGAACTCATTATTCTGACATTCACAAGTGTAACACTAAAGGAAAACAGGTTTTGTATGTACAAGCATGCAACAATGTTCATTGCAAAATAAGTGTAATTAATATGGGAATTAAAATACATTACAGCTTGCCCCTGAATTAAAAAGAATAGAAAATTTTAAAAAGAAATTAAGAATTTATTTATTACAAAACTGTTTTTATTCCCTCCAGGAGTTTTTTAGTAACAGTGATGGACGGTAGTTTGGTGGCTCGGGTTGGTTCTGGTGTGGTGTGTATGTATATAGATGGTATAAGTGTATGTGTTGCTTTATATTTGATTGTTGGAGGTTTTCATCCGCGGTTGCTAGCTTCAGTGGGGGGATGATGATCCTAAGATGACTGGATTGTTCGTAGTCTTGTGTATCATTTTGTACATTTTTAAGAGTTGTTGAGTTGTAATGTTTTAGATATTTTAAACTGGCTTGTACAATTGTGCTTGTGTAACAGTTTATGGATGTAAATAAATTATGAATTATGAAGTGGAAGTAAAACAGCTGTAATGGACGTTATAGGTTCTCCATGTGTATCACTAGATAGCAGCACAATCCAGCTTCCTGACAGTGTACGCAGCAGATGCGCATGCACATGTTCAGAGGCTGGCTTAGGCAGTCAAATGGGGATCATGCTTGGGGAATATACTACCGAAGAGCAGAGTTCTGTTGTGCGGATTTTATGGGCAAAAGGACTCAACGTAAAGGATATTTATTTATTTAATTCATATCCATGGATCATTATACATGATATAGGACATATTTATTCATAAATACACTTTTCCAGTTTATGGTGGGAAGTGTTTGTTGTGTAAAGCGGTTCCACCTTGGTAGCAAACGTTGCGCTGATGACGAAGAAGTTGAAACGGAGGTTAAGGAGTGACTGAGACAACAGTCAAAAGACATATGCTGTAGGTTTTATGTGTTAAAATAAAATTCTCATTATGGTTTGTGCCAAAAAAAAAAAAAGAAGCAAATGTCAGCCGGATGACACTTTGAAGACAAGATTCAACACCTGATATGTGTACATTAAGTATGCTCAGGTACCGGCTGTAGCTAGGAATTTTTCTAGGTTGGGGAGAGGGGCAGATAATGTGCTTATGAACTAACGTTTAAGACATTTAATACTGTCACTAATTGTCTACAGTAGTCGGTATAGGAAAAATTTCTAAAAATAATTTAATTTTTTACCATCAAGATATAATATAGTTCATTGTTTTTTTAATTTTTACTCAGGGGGTTGGTGCCTGGTTTGCCCCTATTGACAGCAGTCTTGTCTTGGGACCATTATTTTTCAAGTGTGGTGGGTGAGAGGTAATATATATATATATACAGGGTGTCCCAGGAGGAATGTGCCAAACTTCGGGAGGGTGTTCCTTATGTTAAAGTATGCCGATATAACCCAAAACACCTATGTCCAAAGTTGAACGGTTACGGAGATAATGGCCCGAGAAAAGTGTGGTCTTCTTGCAGGTCCACGCACTATACGTACCTGTCAGCTGAGACCCTTATCTGTTTGTCCTTGAGTGCCGCGAGTCACACTAGCGTAAGCTCATGCGCTGCCTACAGATTACGTTGCAGTGGGGTCGTGAATGGGTGGTAAATTAGTTGTGTGATGAGTTGCTGAAATGCCTTTTGTGTTTTCACACGTCGAGTATTGTGATATGCATTTTGTGTATGGATTTTGCGGTGGCAATGCACGTGCTGCTGTTGAAGAGTACCAAAGGCGTTTTCCTGATTGAAGGATTCCATCTCGAAGTGTATTTACGCGAATTCACCAGACATTGCGTGAGACTGGTTCTCTTCCGAGTGTTTCTGTGCAGTCAGAAAGGGAGGATGTACAAATGAGAAACACACGAGAGAACATTCTTCGCATGATTGATATATATAGTCACGTGTTTGGTATGTAATGCGACAAATGACTTCACGCCGTTTTGGATCTAGCAAATTTATTGAACACTCGTTCTCACAATTACACCACTACTGCCATCGGCAGTATCACAATTACTTCTCCTGCTTACATTCACTCTGGTGGATGCTAGACTGCACCTGACTGGTTACCCACTCTCACTGACGAATACTCCTGTTATGTAGCTTCCGCACTGACAACACAGAGAACAGTTACGTGATAGCTTTCACTGTTGTGTGATGCCATGTTTACAAAGGCGTTACTGGGTAATGCTGCGTAGCAACCAGTGTGCTTCGGCTCGGCTCGGCTCGGCTCGGCACGGACAAACACTGCTTTCCTTACTGTTGCGTAACTTGGCAACAGGCCGTTTATCAAGGGTCTGTCTTCGTGGTAAGTTGTTCCACGTCCCATTGCCCAGCAATGGTTAGCCATGTCACAATATATATTTCTTTTTTAATTTGATGTCCATGGGAATGATGAAAACACAACTGGGACATTCAGAATGGTGAACATGACTAGGTTACTTGCTGAGAGCGGTTGGAGGATGATTGCCTAATATCTATTCTTTGAAACAAGGATATAAGTTTAATAAACACTTCCAAAAACAGTGGTCAGTGTTTTACAAAGATATTGTGTGAACTAATGATTTCAGATTTGTGACAGAGAAAGGAAATGGGAAGTGGGAGACAGTGCAGACAACACTGAGACTGAACAGAGCTACAAATATGACAAGGCCAACCTCTATTCCAAGGCAACATTTTTCTGGCTGACACCGCTGTTGTGGGTGGGCTACACCAGCCCTCTGGAGCTGGAAGACATGGGAGATCTACCCAAGGAGGAGGAAACTGAGCATCAGTTTAAGAAATTTAATGACATCTATACAAGTGAAAGGGTATTAAAATACTTCTGTAATTACAGTCAAGCTATGTATTCTGGGCATAATATTGATACCAGAGGGTTGACATTTTAGAAACTGCTACTGATCTGTGTCTCAGCTTTAGCCTGCTCAGAAGAAGGTGTTGAAGTGTTAATGGGGGACTCAAGTAATTTAAGACTTTTTCATGATACTGTCTGTCACAATAGTGCTGCTAGCCATAGTAGTCTATATGAAAAACAAAACCCAAATCCTACCCTTAGGAGGTTTTTAAATATTTGATTTTAAAAATGAAACCAAAAGCAGAAACCTTCCAAAAGTGAATAATATTATATTCCAAAGGGTAAGCCAGAGGCTTAATGTTTTAGAAACAAAACTAAAAGTCTGAATTTACAGTCTTGTTATTAAAGGAAAATTATAAGGTAAGTTTTTAGGGTCATGTTTGTATAAATCTTTTAGCAATTGCTGTCTGCTTCATGCTGGTTTCTTCCTTGACTTATTCTTCAACCCTGAAAATGGAGGTAACATGTTCCTCCTACTGTAAATGTTGTTTGGATTTCAGCAGATTACATGGCATTATATCCTAGAAGGTAGTACTCTTCATAACCACTTCTGTGAGAACCTCATGTCATCCACCATTCCAGGGTTTGAGCAGTAGAAGACAGTGTATGTGTGGCCACTGTGATGAGACTGCTCTAAGACTAATGGATCTTAAACCTGCAGTAGGGATTGTGACACTGCTGTTGTTTCACAGGTTGGGGAATCTGCCCCTCTACCCTTCTTTTGTAAAGAACTGTCAGTATTGTTAGTGCAACCTGAGTTGACGGAATGTGCTTAGTTGACGGAATGTGCTTGCACAGAATGGATTTACTATGCAGTACAAAATTATTATGCCCTCTGTGTCTGTTAACACTGTGAAATGCAAAGTAATGGTCAATAGAAGGGGGAGGGGGTGGCTTAGAAGCAAAGGAAGAGTGTTTTCTCAAAATCAGGGATGGGAGTAGAATATACACTTGTTCACATATTTTCCAAAGTTTAGATGTGATGGCCATGCTGTGTAGATTTTATATGAACAATTTTTGTTTATGGTGAATATTTACTGTAAAAGTAAAAAAGTAAATGTATTCCTGTAACAGGCCGTGGAGGCCCATAGGGTTGTGGGATGTTGAGGTTCCCACATTTTCTAGACAATTGGCTCATAGATGGCGGCAAGGTTGTCAGCCCTATGTGCTGGCCGCCCTGTACCCCCAAGAATATTCCAAGAATATTCCTGGTACTCATTTCTGTTAGAGGCTGAGTCAACTCCAGGACCATAGTGCAGCTGGAAGGATTAGGTCAATTGAAAAATCCAATGACCTCATCGGGACTTGACCGCACGACCTTCCGGCTTGGAGCGTAGTGCCTCAAGCTACTACGCTACCGGGTGCCCCATATTTGATATAACCTAAGGAAACAAAATTTTAGACTCTGTGTAGAATGACATCTACACGGTGTGTCCAGGATCCGTTAGGACTCTTTGTTTTTTTCCCTGCAATGCCATCTATTGGCGAGTTGTGGCATTAAGATTCTTGAAGTTTCAGCTGTGGCTGTATATAATTTCAAAGCGCAAGCATCACTGCATCATGTGTTCTGACCTTGAATATAACAGTACTGTTCTGATGCTCGTCGGAAAATGGCGGTTGAACAGAAAGCCAACATCAAATTTTGTTTGAAGTTAAGCAGGACAGCTGGAGAAGCATACAAAATGATGAAAAGTGTGTACGCTAGTGATTGTTTGGGTCGCTCAAACATTTTTCGATGGTATGCTGTATTTCGTAATGGCAGGGAGGACATTGAAGACACTCCACGTGCATCAAAGCCGAGAACAAGTCGGTCGCAATGAAGAAAATGTGAAAAAAAGTGACCGAAATCCTTGAATCAGACAGATGTGTTTCTGCAAGACTCATCGAGGAGCTTATGGGAATACCAAGAAGTACTGTGCATAAAATTTTGACCGAGGATTTGGGCAAATGGAAGGTCTGTGCGCAGTTTGTACCGCACATGCTGTCAGGCGATGAAAAACATGCCAGAGTGGAACACTGCAAAGACATGTTATGGTCGGCCCAAAGTGATACAAAATTTACAAAATCGATTGTTACTGGTGACGAGACATGGTGTTTTCAATATGAGCCTCTCACAAAGTGGCAGAGTGCAGCGTGGTTAAGCCCAAAGAAGCCGAAACCAAAGAAAGTGTGCATGCAAAACAGTCGAGTAAAGACACTGCTAACCATTATCTTCAATTCCAAAGGAATCATTTACAAGGAATTTCTGCCAGAAGGTCAAACAGTGAATTCTGATTATTATCTTGGAGTCATCAATCTTTTGTGGACGAGAATTCTTCGATATTCAGGTTGAATATTGAGAGCAAGGTGCCTGGTCGCTCCTCCATGACAATGCCCCACCCCACAAATCAAAGATCGTGCGCGATTCTTTGACCAGAAAATGGATCACAGTCCTTGATCATCCTCCGTATTCGCCAGATTTTGCTCCAGCAGATTTCTGGTTGTTCCCAAAAGTTAAGTTGGTGATGAAAGGAGACTGTCACGACACCATCCAGGACATCCAAAGGGAATGTACTGCAGTTTTAAATGCAATTCCACAAAAGGAGTACAGTGACTGTTTTCAAAAACTTTTCAATCGATTCCAGCTACGTATTGATTCTGAAGGAGATTATTTTGGAAGAAGGAGTGAAATTTTGAAAATAATTCACATTTTGTATTTTTAATGAACACAGTCCTAAAAGAACCTGAACACACTGTGTATACTGTGAACAACTTTGCAACAATAGATTTGTGTGTGCAGTGACAGAGAATGATGGCTAATGTGGTATGCAGTATATCAACAACTGTAAATGTATCGTTAATTGGACTAAACCTTTCGAGTCCCCTTTGTATATTTAAGTGTGACAGCAGTGACATTTGAGGTGATGTTTAGAAGAATGAAAATAAGATGTTACCAAATTACAATTCTTCTGTCATGCTACCTTTCCAAGAAATTTAGTACATATATGTATTGCAGGTTGCTGCAGGAAGGGAAGGACGCCGAGTGTCACTGTGGTGGTGTTACTTTCGTAGCTGCTGGAAACTCTTTGCACTTGGAGGACTTTTCAAGCTGATGGGTGACTGTGTTGGTTTTGTGGGCCCCCTTGGGATCTCTGTAGTAATAAGCTATGTGAATATTTTGAGAAATCCAGCCACAGTTCAGCCAGAATATCCCACTATATCAGAGTTCCTGAGCAATGGATATGTAATGGGTGCAATTGTGTTTGTGGCAGCATTGGCTCAAGGGACATTCTCACAGAGTTCAACACATCTTGTGAATGTTGAGGGTATTCGTCTCAAGGTAGCTCTGCAGGTAAGATTGCCGATGTGTGGCTCAGGTTGTACACATAAGGAATTTTGAAAGGCACATACATTTCACAGAACAGTGTGCACCTCTTATGGTTTCCAGTAGCTTTCTGTTCTGCAGGTGTTGCAGCTTCAAGAGGTTGCTGCCTGCTGCATACTCCCAGGTGGGGCAGGCATAAGTCATAATTGACCATATCAGGCCTTTGTAAGGCGTAAGTTTAATATCTGTATTTAAACACTCTCTTTTGAATAACAAATAGGGCCTTAAGTAGGTGCACCAGACATTGGCTATAATCCTATCAATATGGAGTCTCCATATCATCCTCTGATCAAAAGGGACACCAAGATACATTACATTATCTGCAAAGGGATGTACAATCAGTTTAGTTATAGCACATCCTCAGGGACTTTGTCTTCTAGAGAAATAGATTTCCTGAATTTTCCTTTTGTTAATCTTTATGTTCCATTGTTCACAGCATGACTAAACTTGAGTGAGGCTTTGTCCCAACTTGCAGAGAACACAATGTTCATGTTTCTCTGTTGCTTAAATACAGGTATCACCCACGAACAGGGCAAGATGTGTTCCAGGTGCCGCAAGGGCATCATTTTCAAGTTATTTAAAGTAGCTGGCCTGTGCCTACTTCACCTAAATTAATGATAGAGGTTAGAGTAAAGCACGTTGTGAATATAGTTAATTCCAACATTTAGAGTATGATTTGCAGTCTCTGCAAATGATTCAGTTTTTTCTGTATTTGAAATACTTGTATATTTTGTGTTCTATTTCTGTGTGTGTACTTCAGTATCTGGTTCATTTGTTTCACAATTAATATAATTATCTTAAGGTAAAGATGAAGTGGCCGGTCATGGTAGCCGAGCGGTCTAAGGCATGCACTGTCTTTGCTCGCTCAGAAGCCGGGATCATGGGTTCAAATCACACTCAGGGCATGGATGTTTGTGTGCGTTTTTCTATGTTTGTGTACAGGTAGAGCCCTTGTGACGAGCTGATCACCCGCCCAAGGAGTCCTACCATATGTCTAAGATCTAGTAAACCGAAGTGAAACGGAGAGTTTCATGGAGGTCGGCCTAGGTCCAAATGAGGGCTGTAGGGCCAATGAAAAAAAAAAATGAAGTGACTGTGCTTAATTATGCATCTGTGCTATGAAGATAAACGGGGAATTTGAAGTATAGCTTCATTGACAGCTTACCCTGGCTGTTAATATTACTTCATTGCAAGGGCAGTATAATGAAACTTTTAATTTTCACTCTCATTGCTTTTGAGTATTTTAAGTTCCAGTAGTTCCAGTCAAATATCCATAAACACAATATTAAATTTCAGCTGTTTTTATGTTTATTCAAACAAATTTCTCAAATTTGCACTCCATACTTCAGTGAACATTCACCTGTTTCTACATGTACAATATTTTCTGGAAAATTCAGAGAGATGGTGCTGAGACACTGTTCCATTCATGTTCAAGGGTTTTCCCAATAAAATAGGCATACGAGTATCATTACAAGTGAAAGCTTTTCAACTTCACATGATAGCTGTGAGAAAAAGAAACAAATTGTTATGTTTTACTGGTTACAGATGTAATCTATCATGTAGAAAATTCATCTGTATTTTCAATGTTATTATAAAAGTTAAAGGTAAAGTTGTCCCTGTACTTAATGAAGTAAACACTATGCCATGAAGGAGCATACAGGGGAGTGGATGTATAGGCCCAGGTTTTCTTGACCTCAGAACTAGTTGCAGGGGAACTGGGGTAGCGTAGTCAATATAGTGACTGGCTACAGGTTGGATGACTGAGGGGTGGGAGTTCAAGTCCTGGGAGGGGCAAGATTTTTCTTCACATCGTCCAGACTGGTTCTGGGGTTCACCCAACCTCCTACCCAGTCGGTACTGGGGGCTCTTAACGCGGGGATAAAGCTGCTGGGGCGTGAAGCTGACCACTCACTTTCAATTAGTTCCTCGGCAAGAAAATGTGGGTCTGTACATCCCCCCCCCCCGTGCCTTAATGGCAAAGTACTTAATTGTTACTGTATAAATGAAAATCTCAGGCAATATGTAGCCATCTTGAATAGGCAGTAATTCCAAATACTACCATTGGCCAAAAGTTTTCAAAACTATAAAATTATATTAACTCGTAAGAACAGATCATGTTAGTTGGGTGCCTTGTCACCATGGCATGACACGTCCTCAGGTAGCAGATGGAGGAGATAACTTCTGGATATGGAAGGCAGCTGCAAATATATTGAATAAGCAGTTGCAGACACCTGGAAAGGGCTAGTCCTACAGCTTGGGGGTTGGCTGTGGGGCTAACAACTCCTTACCATAAAAAATAAACTTGTTACGAAAGATCACAAGAAGCCTAGGACCTGGATGGATGCCTTGGATAAATGACCTAGGCTAAAGAAAATGGACATGGGACTCGGCACCTGGAATGTCAGAAGTTTGTATAGGGCAGGTTTGCTCAGGGCAGTGGCAGAAGAAATCTCAAAATATAAGTTAGATTTAGCGGGAGTATAGGAGGTTAGATGGGATTGAGGTGGCACCGAACCAGCAAGCGAATATACATTTTTTCTGTGGAAAGGAGAATGAAAATCATGAATTAGGTACAGGTTTTTTTGTACATAAGAGAATCATATCAGCAGTTAAGAGGGTAGAATTTGTTAGTGATAGGATATCATACATAATACTAAGGGGTCACTGGTGTGATATCATTGTTATGAATGTTCACGCCCCAACAGAAGATAAAATTGATGATATGAAAGACAGCTATGAAGAACTAGACAATTTTGTTTGGGGATTTCAGTGCCAAAAGTAGGTAGGGAAGACATTTTCAAACCCAAAAATTGGGAACGACAGTTTGGACGAAATTAGTGATGATAATGGACTTAGAGTAGTAAACTTTGCCACATCCAAAACTCTTATTGTCACAAGTGCGATGTTCTCACATTATAACATTCATAAATTTACTTGGACATCTCCTGATGGGAAGATGCACAAATAAATTGACCATATTTACATAGACAGGAGATGGCATTCAGGTATACTTGAAGCCTGGTCGTTCAGGGCAGCAGATTGTGATACTGACCACTGCCTGGTGGTGGCAAAAGTTAGGGAGAGACTGGCAGTGAGCAAAAGAACAATGCACAGAGTTCATATGGAGAGGTTCAATCTAAAGAAATTAAATGAGGTAGAGGGTAAAGAACAGTGTTGTGTTGAAATCTCAAGTAGGTTCCCAGCTTTGGAAAACTTAGTCAGTGAGGTGGATATTAATAGAGCTTGGGAAACTGTTAGAGAGAATTTCAAATTTCAGCCAAAGAGAGTTTAAGTTAGTATGAATCAAAGAAGCAAAAGCCATGGTTCGATGAAGGATGCTCAAAATTATTAGACCAAAGAAAACAAGCCAAATTGCAGTGGTTACAGGATCCAAGCAAGTTAAATGGGGATAATCTGAACAATATAAGACGTGAAACCAGCAGGCATTTCAGGCACAAAAAGAAGGAATATCTGAAAGACAAAATTGATGAGCTTTCAATGAATTGTAAGAACAGAACATTGTCTAGAGGAATAAAAGATGTAAAGGAGGATTACCAACCTATAAGTAACTTAGCGAAGGATGAGAATGGTGATCTGCTTGCAGATTGCCACAACTTTTTAAATAGGTGGAAGTACTACTCTTAATTACTGAATGAACATAGGGTCAGTGGTGTTAGCCAGAAAAAAACATATACATCTGAGCAGTGAATACATGATCCTAGCCCAACTGAGGTTGAAATTGCTATTGAAAAGTTGAAAAGGTATAAATTTCCAGTTAGTGATCAACTTTTGGCAGAATTGATTCAAGCAGGAGGTGAAGTGTAAGTGACTGGTTCAAATCTTGGATGGGATACCAGCTGTCCTGACTGCAGTTTTCTGTGGTTTTCATTGATCCCTCTTAGGCATATGCCAGAATAGTACCTTAATGAGGCTACAACTGGTTCCTTTCAAAATCTTTCCTATTCGTAATTTAGTTGTCTTCCTATTATTCAACACTATGTAGTCAGGGTACAGACAGTGTCCTAAAATACCCCTTCACCCCTGAATATCTTTTTCAATATATATGAGAAACTCCGTCTTAAGTGCAACAATTTAATTGTAGTTTAATTGTTGCACTTAAGACGGAGTTTGTCTCATATATATTGTGTGAGTGTAACAGGATGCTTAAATATAATATTGTAATCTTTTTAAATTTTTTCAAGATATTTGTGATACATAATGGAAACTAATGTACCATTTTTTTTCTTGGCACTACAGCCCCAGTTGGCCTAGGCCTACCTCCATGAACTTCTCCGTTCACTTCGGTTTTTCTAGATCTTAGACATTCGGTAGGACTCCTTGGGCAGGTGATCAGCTCGTCGCAAGGCCTCTACCTGTACACAAACACAGAAAAACGCACACAAACATTCATGCCCTGAGTTGGACTCGAACCCACGATCTCGGCTTCCGAGCGAGCGAAGACAGTGCATGCCTTAGACCGCTCGGCTACTGTGACCGGCCTGTACAATCTATACCGCTTCTTTTTACTCCACTGTCCCCAGGCCCTGGTGTACGACAAAGCCCTGCGATTGTGTGTATGGAACATTGATGATCACAAGGAAGACTTGGCATCACATCATGAAGATGAAAAACTTGAGAAGATCAATGGATTGCCTGGAAGTAAGAGAGTGATAGGACCTGAATGTCACTCAGTGAAAAGCAAGGCAGGTTTCTCCACAGACATGGGAACCATTAGCAACCTCATGTCTGAGGATGCATACAGTGTCATGTCATTCTTCTGGATTGGTCACTATATCTGGGCTATCCCACTCAAGGTACTGCACTGCATTACTTTGTCACTACAGTGTGATAGTAAAGTTGAATATCATCCACTCTCATCAAATTCTACTACTTTTGTCCACTTTCTTTTCACCACTGTCTCATTTTTATTTTGTTCTTTCTATTGTAATGCTGTTCTTTCAGTTTGCTTTGCTCTTATCAGTGTGTCACATGTTTCTCTTGTTTATTTTTGTGTGTGTTAATCCTTACCGCTCATACAACTGTATGATCAATCTGTATGCGTTACAGTCATTGCCTTCAAAATTGCTATAAATACTAGAGCAGTTTAGTTTATTTAAAGATAAAATACAATGTAAGTAATAAAAAATGATACGTGAAAGCTGAAGTTCTCAAGATGAATAATATGGCAAAATTTTCTCAGGCAGTTACTGCTTGAATGCAGAATGAAACTCTGATATTTAAGATACTGTCTTCTGTATTCATCATCAGGGGCTGATGTGGTGACTGTTAGCTGATATACATTTGTACTTGTGTGTGTCTCTCTCTTCCCATCTACTACCTAAAAGCACAAGAACTTAAATATGCACCACTGTAGTTTTACCTTTTGTTTTGTATTGATGTTAAACTTGGTCTTGCACATTAAGAGAAGAACATGGACCAAGGGTGTTTGAAAACGAGTGCTGGGGAGAATATATGAACTTACAACGAAAGAAATAACAGGAGGCCGGAGAGAATGACAAGTGGTGAGCTTTGTAATTTGCTCGACACACCAGCTGTTATATGGATGATCACATGACAGAAGATGGGTGGTATACATAGCATATGCATGAAAACCTTTTGTAGGAGAACTTGAAAGAGAGAAACCACTTGGAAGATATAGGTGTAGATTGAGAGGATAATTTTAAAATAGATCTTAAAGAAATAGGATGCAAGGAAGTGGGCTGGATTCATCTGGATCAGGATAGGGACCAATAGTTGGCTCTTCTGGATGTGGTAAAGGGCCATCAGGTTGCGTTAAAGGCACGGAATTTCAGGCTAACCGAAGAACTGAAGTTCTCAGTGACTCTGCTAGATACAGTTAGTGTGTGTTGATGTAAGTAGATATTCAGAAAGACAGTACAGCCACACAAGTGGTGGTTCATTCTACAGTAGACTGAATACAGGGTTAGCTAACTTAAATGTAATAGTGAGTCATGTCAGGCAGTTGACCTGATTCAGTGACCTGATATGCTACAAATCTGAGTTTTTGGGCACGTTTCATGGTCAGTGAGAACCATATTTCATTATGTTAGCCCGTTTGTGTCACTTATCAGTCCCTGAATATGGACACTGAGACAACCTCAGAAATCCTGCACTTGCATTCTATAGAAGCAGAAGTGTTCATGTTTCATCTGGGATATGGTTCCTTTCATTTTCAGTATTAAAGTATATAGTCACTATACCTTCAGACATACATACATACATATACATACATATACATTTGCGTTTCAGATTATTCACAAATGTGCACAGGCACAGAATATAAAACATGTCAACAAGCCAACAAGACATTGGAAACTTGTACATTCACAAACAAAATCACTAGCATATATAATCCATACTTGTCAAAAAAACACATAAAATTGTTAAAAGGAAATACAGATTGCAGCAAATACACATACAATAGTTAAAAAGCAATACAAATTGCAACAAGTACACATACAATAGTTAAAAAGCAATACAAATTGCAGCAAGAATATATAAGCACAGCCAAGGACATAGAGTTAAATGAAGTGTACACTGTCAGACGCCTCTTGACAGGTCTTGACAGAAAAGCAAGAATTCCTCAACAGTATAAGAAGGGTTTTGAAGCAATACATCCTTTAGTTTCTCAATAAACTGTTTTTTATCATGTACCAACTCAATTAAAAAATCAGGCAAACTATTAAAAACTTTTACACTCATACAATAGACCCCTTTTTGCCTCTTTGTTAGATGCGATTGAGGAACATGAAGGTTTCTAACTTGTCTTGTTGATTTACCATGAATTGTATGATTAAAAGTATAATGCCCCAGATTGTTTACCATTAGTATCATTAAAGATAAAATATATTGAGAAGCCAATGTCAAAATTTTTAATTTTTTAAAAACTGTTCTACATGATTCTCTGGGTTTCATTCCCAACATTATCCTGATGGCCCTTTTTTGTAAAAGAAAAATCTTCTTAGCCTCCCACGAGTTTCCCCAAAATACTATCCCATATCTCATAATTGAATGAAAGTATGCATGGTAAATCATCTTTAGTGTTTCAATATTGCTATACAATTTCATGTTTCTTATTGCAAAGCATGCCTTGCCCAATCTGGACAGCATCGATTCAATCTGTGACTTCCAATTCANCCCAAAATCGAGCCCTGCGGCACTCCATATTCAACAATCTCCCATCCTGAACAACATTTTTCATTCCCATTAGTATACAATTCCACTCTTTGCCTTCTATTTCCCAAATATGATTTCAACCATCTTAAAGTTTTACCACCAAGTCCATATACAGCCAACTTGCTCAAAAGGATATCATGCACCACACAATCAAATGCCTTTGTCAAATCACAGAATATTCCTAATGAAAGACAGCGTCGTTCCAAAGTTTCTAATATATGATTAGTTAAGGCATAGATTGCAGATTCTGTACTTCTATTTTCTCTAAATCCAAACTGAGCAGATGAAATTAGATTATTTGTATGTAGGTGCTGCTTTATCCTATTATACATCGCTTTTTCAAATATCTTGGAGAAGATTATTAACAGTGATATTGGTCTATAATTTGCCATAACGACCTTCTCACCTGTTTTGTGTAAAGGTCTTACTGACGCAAATTTCATTCTATCGGGAAAAATTCCACGTTCAAGTGATGCATTAAGTATATGTCCAAGTGGTTTACTTATTTGATTAATGCTATATTTTAATATTCTGCTAGAAATACCGTCATAGCCTGTAGAATTTTTCGATTTTAGTGTCTTAAGTATATTCTTTATTTCCACCTCAGTTACGGGTATTAATTTCAGTTCAGGTAAGTTATCATACTTAAGATTATTTAATAATTTAATTGCAAGGAATATCACTGAAATTAAGAAATTCCAGTTTTATCACGTGCTTTTCTTCTTCTCTCCAAAGATTGGGATAATCTGTGGTTTCTGAAACTGTGGGTTGTAACCTCAGTTTTCCCTTCATCTCTATTTTTAAGCTCTCACACCACAAATTCACTGCAGTGAGTCCACGTTGCAGTTTGCAGAGGACATGGCATTTGTGTTCTGTGTCACGTAAATACAGGTAACGTTTGTGAACAGAGAAAGATGGGTTTCAGGTGCCACAGGGGTCATTTATATATAGATTGTAGGATATTGGGGCAAGGACAGAACCTTGTGGCACTCCTGCCAGTATTTTGCTTCTTCGTAGTTTGTGCTTACACTGTAGCCTTGGGGCAGACTCATTAAAGAACACCATTTCTGACAGTTCCTCTCTTGTTGTGTGGGTATCTGTTGCCACAGAAACCAGCTGTCATGTGTTTTTCACTGGCCATTGCATGACAGCAGTTGGCTTCTCTTGTTAAATTATACTGTCATCATTTCATAATACAAGTATATTCTTCTGTATGCAAAATAGCTGTGCTCTTTGGAAGGCATTGCAGTGAATGTGTGTCTGTGTGTGATCCAGATTGGTGTGCTCATGTACTTGCTGTACCAGAAGCTTGGTGTGAGTGCCATAATTGGAGCAGCCTGCTGCATCGTCACTATGACTCCTCTCCAGTTTCTCATTGGCAAGAAAATGTCTACCAACTCAAAAGCAATTACTGTAAGTGTAGTGATCTACATTAATACTGTATCACCTACAGTTTATCACTCTATCCAGTCTTCCATCATAACTGTTGGTATTCTGATCATAACAACAATTTGGAGACAAATTCAGGTGACTCTTGTTATATGCTGGGTTTGCATTCCTGAATATCTCTCTGTATACAAGAAATGCACAGTATTATTATTATTATTATTATTATTATTATTAGAGGGGGTGGGTTTCCCCATGCACTTAGACCAGTTATTGGTCCAATGTGCATCCCCCTTTAATCTCTACTGTCGCCATACCCTACCGGTACTGGTGTGTGCTATCAGCCCCGTTCAGCCAACGAGGTCAGCCCTCGGTACCTGATATTTCCCCCATCTACCAGAGGAATTGGAAACTACTTGGGCAGGAAATGTGTTACCTAATTTTGCTCAGAGGTCTCCTAGAGACATGAGGATCTTTTACATGCCGTAAATCTACGACACGGGAAATGCACAATATGGTAAATGCACTGAGCAAACACCAAGCATGGCGGAGAAGGAGTGGGAAACAAAGAAAGTCAAGTAAACTGAGTGTGTAGCTCACTGGCCATGTACAGCAACTTCTGCCATGGTCACAGAGAGGACATTGATACTCCTCAAGGCACTGAAATAAAATTGTGGATATGCAAAGATGTGAGTAAATAGTGTATGTAGCAAGATTCACCTGTGTTTGTATCTCTCTGTGCCAGTGTCTTAAATTCAAAGAAGAATATCCATGAACATGTTTTAACACTTCCCATGCTGGTTTTTATTTAGTTTTATCATCCAGGAATATGAAATCACAAACATCCTGATACTGCAGAGCTAATTGATGATTGAATACTCACATACTCGTCTGTAGGTAAAGATTGTTATATTGAAGAAATGCAGTGAGCCAGCAGTCAGTCATTCCATTATTTCTGCATGATACAGGATAACACTTGAGGAACTTTTTCTGCAAGTATATTTCCATGGTAGTGAATAATTTGTGTTGTTGAAAAGTTATATCATATTTATCTTTGGTGGTTGACATATGGTGAGATATATAGATTTAACTGAGCTTGATGTCTGTATGTTATATATCTCAGGTACAGTGTGGAAATGGTTACTGCTGGTATCTGAGATGAAAATATAACTGTAACCAATTCTGTGCTACACTTACAGTAAATGAGAATTTCTGTTAGTCTGTTTTCAACAGTAAAGTTTAATTTCTATTGCTGAGATGCTACAGGTAGCTTTAATGATTGATAGGTTTCTTTTAGTGGTCTTATCAAGCAACTGAAACCAAAAACTACAGAATTGCAAGCAAGATTTCAGTTTTATAACATGAAACGTTTAAAAATTCCTGTGGGTCCAGCCTCAACATATTTGATACAATTTGCTGCATGCAACAACTTAATATAGCCATGCAGTATGTGTTTCTATTGATCTAATACCATTAACTTTTATAGGATGTGAGTGATGAACGACTGCGCCAGATGAATGAGGTACTTCAAGGAATCCGTCTTCTCAAACTGTATGGGTGGGAATGCTTGTATGGGGATCAAATCTTGCATACACGCGCCAAAGAGCTCAGACTGTTGGACAAGGATTCCTTCTACTGGGCTATAATGAGTAAGGCAGTTGTGTTAAGAAACAATAACCATACCTGTTGTGTAACATTGAATTAGTTAGGATGATAACTGTATAGTTCTCTGATGGATTGTTAACCATTGTCGATTTATTACAGCACAGGTATTTCACCATTCTCTGCTGACCAGGGCCATAATGTATGAATTGGTATGGGAATATTTTCTTTTCTGTTCATATCTTCAGGTGCTTGGTTGTAATTATACTGAAAGATGCACTCTAATTTAAAATATCTCTGTTGGAGCTCTGGATGGAACCTGGAATCCACTAAAATGAAACTCGTATATTGATTACCTTCCAACAGAATGACAGCCTGTCACATGAAGGTGGGAGCATGTGGAATGTCATATATAATGAATATCTATCAGGCAGCAGACAAGTGGATCTCAAAGAAATTTGATGTGGTAGCTAACTCACAAGGGTCTAGTGGCCAAGAAGGTGAGCACTGCATTGTGCCTTTGGATGCCTTAGAAGGAAGATCTTTTCTTAATCACTGGAGCAATTGTCTGGTTCTCTAGAAGGATTCTGCTCCAAGAAGTTTGTTAGTTTAGACAGCAGCCAGTGGCCAATGCTAAGAGTACAGTCTTCTGGGTTGTAACACCTTGTAGTTCAGAAATAACCAAATATCTTGGAGGAAGCATATCACTTCATCTTCAGGGTATAAGAGTGAGCCAAGCAAGAAACCAGCAAGAGCAGGTTGTAAGCCCAGCTTGCCAAAATACACAGCATTACAAACGTGGAGAGAGTAATCTTTATAGTCACTGCTGTAAGAATGTCAGATCATATATCTCAGAATTTAATATATTATGTAATACAGAATTGTAAATGCAACACTTCATGTATTATTGGTTAAACGCTATTTAATGTATATTTGCATATATACTTCATAACCTCTTTTGAACATATGAGACCATCATTAAGCATATATGATTGTCGAACTTACACTCTGCACTGTATCACTTCACTGTGCTTAAGACATGACACGTAAAAGCATAAAATCTTTTTAGTTTATAAAAACAAGCAGAGTTCTAGTTAAAATAATGTAGTTTAAGACTGGTGTACTATAGAATTATAGCAGAACGAACTTTGGAGATAGATGAAGAACTGTGTGCTTGCTTTATAGACTGGCAGAAGGCATTTGACCGTGTAAATTGGACCAAATTAATCCAGATCCTAAAAGAAACAGGTATCGATTGGCGGGAAAGAAGATTTATTAGTAAATTGTACATGGATCAGAAAGTTGGAGTGTGACTGGACAGAGGGGAGACAAGAAGTGTGAAGATTGGAAGAGGAGTTTGACAAGGATGCTGTTTATCACCAATTTTGTTCAACTTGTACAGTGAATGCCTTACCAAGGAAGCTCTGGATGGGCTTGGAGACTTCAAATTAGGAGAGCAAATTATTCAAACTGTGAAATATGCAGATGACCTTGTGTTAATGGCTAAGGAAGAAACTGTGCTACAGGGTATGATTNGAAACTTGGACACTTAGGGCAGTAGATCAGAAGCACCTGGAAAGCTTTGAAATGTGGTGTTGGAGAAGGATAGAGAAGATCAGTTGGACCGATTATGTGAGAAATGAAGAAGTGTTATTTAGAGTCAGTGAGCTGAGGAATATCCTACACGAAATAAGAAAAAGGAAGGCTAATTGGATTGGTCGTATCTTACACGTTAACTGCCTTCTAAAAGAAGTTATTGAAGGAAAGATAGAGGGGCGGATAGAAGTGACCAGAAGACGAGGAAGAAGACATAAGAAGATGCTGGATGACCTTGGGGACAGAAGAGGATATTCTCATTTGAAGGAGAAAGCTCTAGATTGCATCAAGTGGAGGAACTGTTTTGGAAGAGACTGTGGACCTGTTGTCTTGACAGATTACTGATGAATGAATGAATGAATGATGTTGGACAATGCTACAAAATATTCTCAAGCTATTTCAGTTTCCATTTATATCTAACAAGATTAATAATCACTTTATACAAAGACCTACTTGAAAATTTTCACATAAACTAAAAAGTAAAGCTCTCCCCATACCAGTCCGTGAAGGCCTATAGGGTTATGAGACGTTGAGGGTCCCACATTGTAGACAGCTGGCTCAAAGATGGCGGTAAGGTTGTCAGCCCTACGTGCTGGCCACGCTTTACTCCCCAGGAAAATTATTTAATTAATTCTGGGTACTCATTTCTGTTAGAGGCTGATTAAACCCCAGGGCCTAGTGCGGCTGGAAGGATTAGGTCAACTGAAAAAATCCAATGACCTCATCGGGACTTGAACCCGCGACCTTCCGGCTTATCTCACTAAATATTTATCTGAGAGAAGAAAGTTCCAAATAATGGCATGGCCTTTTTCAGGGCCACAGTATTTTTTCCCATAAATTGTAGGTGTCTGTAACAATATCATTAAGATCCCTTTCTTACAGAATGGAAAGTGCCACAAACAGGAGGGGCTGTACTGTTTGAATAATTTGTTAAAAGGAAATCATCTTATATACCTTTACTTCAGAGTGACTATTGATTATGAAGAAATGTTAAGATTTGTGCCTCCCCTCCATAGATATGTAAATAAAATTACTATTAATTTTACTTTTACATAGTTTGAAACAGATTCTATTTATAGAATTAACTGAAGCTTGTAGAATGAAGTCTGGCATCCTTTCAGCCAGTAGGTCAGTGGGTGTTGGAAGAATATAAAAATATAATATTTACCAGTATCCTCATCTGAACTTCTGTTTTTTCCTCGTATTTAGTAACAGAGTTAAATTTCTTATTTTGTTCTTGTTTATCATGTTGAAAGGCACTTGTTATTAGTACCAACTAACAAATGATTTTTTTCCTTTTAGCATTTTTGACCCATGCTTCTTCAATTCTGGTGACCCTGGTGACATTTGGCCTACATTTTCTGATAGAAGGAAACTCACTCACACCTGAAAATGTCTTCTCTGGCCTTGCACTGTTCAACCAGCTGACTGTGCCACTCTTCATCTTCCCCATAACAGTGCCGATAATCATCAGTGCCTTGGTGAGTGCAAATGCATTCCTGGCTTGCATTACGCTCTGTGTTCCCGGTCCTGTGCACATCACATATATACTTGTCCCCTTCAGTGCCACCTAATTAATTAATCAAGTCATTCTTCTTTCTTTTCATCATCATCCTCATCATCCTCATCATCTACTGATGTTTCTACTTCTGTTCACTCCATGTCATGTCTGTCTATCAGTGTGTCCGGCTGTCTCGCCACCTACATAGTCCATTCTTGGAACCAGTGAACACATTCTGATGAAATGTTGCATTGCAGAGTAAGGTAAAGTTCTCACTGTGCTTAACTAATTAAGCACTATGCCATTAAGGTGTATGTGGGAGTGCATGTATAGATCCGTGTTTTCTTGCTCTTGGTGCTAGTTGTAAAATGTCAGGGAAATGAAACTATGGCTGATGCCATACTCTGGTTTTCTGGTTAAGATACCATGCAGTTGGGTGGGTGAGTGGTGGTTGGTGATGGGTAATGGTGGTTGTGGTCAGAGATGGTTGGTTGAGGTAATGGTTGTTCTGGTGGGTGGTGATAGAAGTTCTGATTTAGAATTGCAAGCAGTGAATGTTTCTGACAATCACAGAATCTGATCATGTGACCATCTGCACAGTCTGGTATGCTGATCCTTGGCTAAATTGAATGTAGAGTCTTAATTCACCTAAATATAATATTAACAAGACATGATTTGAAGTACTGGGAAACTATACAGTGGGAATGTGGTCTTTGTGACCTTCTTGCATTGAAGCTGTTAATATATGAAAATTAATAAGTAATGTCTTATTAATAGAGGTCATTATTACTAATGTGTTATTCTAAATTAACTCAGAGGTACCATCTAGTGCAGCCAGCCTTTTAATTTGCAAATTTTCATATTGCCCATAAGATTTCTGCCATTTATGGCTATCTTCATAGGTTCTGAGACAGTTATAAGAGGAAATGTACATCAGTTTTGTATACATTTTTTAAAGTTGCTCACAGATCTATGCTTAAAATAATATTGACATTTAAAATCAGAGTAGTACAGAATGATGGTGAAGCGTAAAACCAGAATCATTCATATCTTTTACTTGTAACTGTTTTGTAGCATCTAGAAATACAACATAGGATTAATAATTTACATAGAGCTGAATTTTGTTAATATTGTAAGGTATTTGATCAATGCATTGCCAGGCAACAACTCTGTAAACACAGTCCATTGCTGGGTTATGCAACAATGGAGGAGGCTGTTTATTCTACACCCATGGTGATGTCATAACATGAGATAGTGATCACATGGCATGTGTTTACTGTTGGTCGATGGCGGTCCCTCAGCTATATAAATGAGCAGAATTCCTAAGCTGGCAGAGAGAAAGTATAAGAGGCTCAAACTTGGTGGCGGTCAGGCATACGACCGTTCAAGTGACTAGACTGCCGTGGTAGCGACTACTACTAGAAATAGGGCATACTCTGCTGTACTGAGCCTGGACTGACAGAAGCCTTGTATATATTGTACATAGTAGACATTAAGGGTAAATCTATAAATAAGTGTACATACTGACAATGGACTTAATACTATCGACTGTGACTGACAAATGACAAATCCGACCTCTTGTTAGAGAAGGTGCTCCACATGGACAGGACAGTAAATTTTTTTTAATTCACCTAGTGGGGGGTGGAGTCCAACTGGGTCCACTCGGCATGGCGGCCATTGATTGGTCTATTGTAGCTTGCCCTGTGTGATAATAATGATGGAGATTTAGGTGGAATGAAGATTGGCAGGGGAACTGAAGTACTCGGAGAAAACCCTCCCCAGCGCCACTTTGTCCACCACAAATCCCACTTGACCAGACCCGGGATCGAACCTGGACAGGACAGTAACTTTCATTTAAGAAGAAACATCTGGTCATGAGCCCCAGCCAGGGCTCGACACCAAGACCGGCAGACTGACTGACCGTCAGTCGCAATGTGACTTTGACTTTGAAGCTGGCAAAGAGAGATCCTAGTGGCGGAAGCATGCAACTGGTGTGAATTCGAACCAGGAGTACAGAAGAGTACAGGAGATTGGCATGTGAGGATTTAAAATGTGGTTAGAAGACTTTATTCATATGTAATATTTGGAGTGATTTGAAGCACTAGTTCATATGTTTTAATTGCACTATCAGGAGAGGGCTAGTGTGTGTATAACAGTTACTTATAAAGTATAAATCAGCGATAGTGCTGTATTTAAATGTGATTAAGAGAGATTGTGACCGAAGTGCCAACAAATCCAATCATCCAAACTAGAACCCTTCATTTTCATTGCATGTAACACCCTACACATGACAATATAATAAATTAATTTATTTATCATTATTGAATGTTATATTAGTCATTTTTGTGTTTGTTGATCATTAGATGGGTGTATGGTAATATGCATGCATGTTATAAGAAAGAATTTTATTTATAAATGTCATTATTGTTTTAAGCATAATCTTAAGTAAACAACTTTCGAAAATTTATAAAAACTAAAGTAGAATTTGCTCCTGTAATTGTCTAGATGCCCTTGAAGATGTCTATAAAGGCCAAAACATATTATGCATTGTGACCATTCATTGATTTCAAGACTGGTTACTCTAGATGATACCTTTGAATGTACTAACTTATTTCCTTCCAGAAACTGGCAGAAGGGAAGTTAATTATGATATTGTGAACTGAAACAAAGTGCAGATTATTGTTTTCTGGTATTAAATGCTGTGCAGTCTTGGGTGTATTTAAAATTTCAGATAAATATCTGCCAGACTGCACAGTGTTGCATCTCAGAAGGCAGAAATACTCATAATCATATCTGAAATTTAATGAAGTGTTTCATTTGTAGGGTAAATGTGAAAGATTTCATGTGCATGAGTATGAATTGTAGATTCCCTAATGGGGTTTTCTTTAAACACTGAAATAATATGTCCAAGGAAGACACTGGAACAGAAAGAGTCAATGATTGGGTCTGATAGATGTCAGCATATGTTGGTAGTGATGGCTGTCAAGCATAATTGTGGTCAGATGTTACTTATCTTGTCACAGGTGAGCACTCGGCGTCTGGAGAAATTTATGGAACTGCCTGAAACCTGTAGTGTAATTCCAGTATACTCTGATTCAGATCAGCAGCCAGAAGCAGAAACAGCTATTCAGGAGGTATGGTTGTGTCAGATGGTTATTCTGAAGTGTTTAACCACTTTAAATTCTTATGTATTACTTACAGTCAACAAGCAACAGTATTAGAAATTCTATGAAACGCTAATAGAACTAAGATTCTGAGTGGAAGGATACTGATGTTGTCACTCCCAGCATTGAGTTTTTGAGATGTAATGGCATGTAGTCCAACCACTGTTTTAGAGGAACCTATCATCTCCATCTTCAGGGTTAAAGAGTAAACACTGCTTGCTGCCTCTTTCACTGTTCATGCTGGTTTCTTGCTTGGCTTACTCTTGGCCTTAGAGTTAAAGGCGATGTGTTCCTCTGAAACATCAGTTTACTTTCACCAGACTACATGGCATTATATTTCTGAAAGATAGAACTTTCATAGTCACTGCTGTGACAATCTCAGATCCTACATATTACAATGTTCATTGGAGCTCAGAATGTAGTAAATAACCAAGAAATCTTATAATTTGATTTAATGAATTTAACAACCAATCCAGCTTCTCTCTTGCATAAGAGTAGAAGAAGTGTAAATCTGCTATTCAAAAAATAAAACAGTAATGGAGATCAAAGTAAGAACAAGCTTCTAGTTTATCTGAAAGTCTTAACATTCATTGATTCCTGATATGTTCTGAACACAGTGGCATCTTTTTAACATTTTAAATTTTCAATTCCTCTCTAAAACTTAAGCAGTTGTACACTGCCCTTTTGTAGCAATCAAGTACTAGAAGCTTATATTCTAGTAGAAGAACCATGGTATTGTCACTTGATTGAGTGAACACAGATGGGGTTTCGATTGGTAATTGGATATATTGAACACTTACAGAACATAACTGAAAGTAACACTGACAGTCTCACTGAGTTACTCCAAAAATCACTGTAACTACAGCATGCATAAAATCTTTTCAGTCTTCCCTACCCATTGCCCAACATCGGCTTGCGACAGCAGACTTTCTCCTTTCTCTGGGTTCCAAACTGTCTCCAGTCTTAGTCACAGGAACTCTTGACTTCTTGACTGATTGACTGACTGACTCTCACTAAGGGTCCTGCTTATAACACCTTGGCACAGACCACAGAGAAAATACAATTCCTCTGTTGCTGTTTCCAATTGTTGCCTTGCAAACATATTTGTTTGTAAAGTCATTACGCAGTAATGGCTGTTGTATAGCTGTTTCTTTCATGGTCAGTGCCTAGCAATGGGCCTGCCTGCTACAGTATTAACAAGTCATTATCCAATTGTCTTGTAGGACGTGACATTGTGAGTCTGGTAGAAGTTTACTGATGTTTCAATCAGAGTGAATGCTTGCTGAGTTACTCTTTGAAATTGAAGGTGGAGGCAGTACATTCTTCTGAGACATTTGTAACCTTCTACCAGACTACATGTTGATAACTTCCCAGAAGATAGTATTCTTTGAGGAAGGAGTTTTCTTCTTTTCCTTATAGAAAATGTTGCTTTTACAGAGCCAAAAGATGTGGTCTCTAGATATGATTTGAGATGTGAATTACAGTATAGGTTTTGTCCTCTGGGTAATCAGAATTTCATCTTCTGTTAAGGTTTTGGATATGACCACATCTAAAGCAGATTTTTCCCACTCCTGAAAAATTGAAAACTTTATATGAGGTAGAGTCAGTAAATTGGTCACAAATGGAAGTAAAACAGCTGTAATGGATGTAATATGTTTTCTGTGTGTATTTCTAGGTAGAAGCACAGTTCAATTTCATGACAGTCTAGGTAGCAGATGCACATGTGAATGTTCAGAAGCTGGTTTCAGTAGTAAAAATGTCAGCCTTGCTTGAGGAGTGAATGGAATGGGTCTATCCTTGCAACGTCTCTTACTATATGCAGATGAAGGAGAAGATATGCTTAACAGGACTGCTACTGGGGACAAATCATGGGTGCATTACTACCAACCTGAATCAAAGCTTGCTTCAGTGTAATGGAAAAACCCCAAGCTCACCTTCACCCAAAAAGTTTAAGTTTACACCATCAGCTGTGATGGACATGCTTATGGTGTTTTGGGATTTTCAGCCCGTTATCAGAGGTGTTGTGAAAATGCTAATTCAGCATCATACTGTGAAGTTCCATTGAAGCTTTGGGATGAGATTTGTAGAAAACATCCAGACAAACTGGCACAAGGGGTACTGCTTCATCATGACAATGCCAGACTGCATGCAGCCCAAGGTACCCAGGAGAGAATTCAAGAACTACAGTGGGACCTATTTGAACATATGCCTTACAGCCCGGATTTGCCCCCTTGTAACTGCGATCTATTTGGTCTGCTAAAAACTATCTTAGTGTAGATATTTCACTGATGATGAAGAGGTTGAAATGGACATGCGGAAGTGGCTGAGACAACAGTCAAAAGATTTCTATGCTGCAGGTTTTGACACACTGGTAAAGCAATGGGACAAGTGTATCAATGTTGGTGGAGGTTATGTCGAGAAGTAAATATTTTTCCAGTTTCGAATATCGCACGTTTTAAGTTTTATATCCATTTGTGACCTATTTGGTGACTATCCCTCATGTATGTGACATGGACCAAACCTCTCCAGATCCTAAATTGAGCTGTAAATCCCCATTTACTGTATATTTTTTCATCCTTGACTTTGTAACAAATGAAATCTGCTCCATTTTTTTATTTCCTTCAGACATGTCCATTATTATCTTTATCCTTGCCGGGCAGATAGAGGCGAGGAGGAATAGAGGCAGTTATTTTGACAGTGTCATTCATTTTTGTAGGAAATTGTTGTGAAGGAGACTTTGCCACTGACTGGGGACAGTGAGAATGCTGGCAAGGTTCGGACTGAGCGAGCTGACAGTGTATTTGGACTTGGAGATATCTTGGAACAAGAACCAGAAAATGAAGTGTCTCTTGATGATGCTGAAGGGGAAGATACACATGTTCAGAATATACAGACCTCTGAGGCTGAAGTGGATGTAGCAGTTGCCGTGGAAGGGGGCAAATTCTCCTGGAGTGCAGACTCTGGGAAACCTACACTCAGCATTTCGAACGTTGTATTTCCGTCAGGTACGCAGAGACTGTAGATTATGAATACTGCACCCAAGGTAACCAGAACTACATTTGAACTTGTCAGAGAATATCCATGCAGTGGGAATAAGAGCTGGTAGGATGGGATATTCTGTTCCTCGGCTTTAACACTTTGCGGACAGGTCGCATGATTTCATGATTTTAGGACACGTTAGGTTGTAACACACTATACCTTGCTCTGGCGCCACGCAACTGCAATGAATACTGCGAAAGAAATCTTCAGAATATATGCTAGGTATTCAGTAACATGACCTGGCTTGCTAGGGTCCCTACTCCAAAAGAAAATAAACTTCGCCCCTTCCAGCTGTTTATGTACCAGGCAGGAAGTTAGTAAATGGCAATATGTTTCAAGGACAAAAGTGGTTGAAGGCAAGTGATCCCTCAGACTTGTTTATGGAGCTATCTGACGTGCCTTGTGGAGGAGTAGTGATTAGTGACTCAGACAGTGGAAGTGACAGGGGTCAACAAAGAATTGTGGCCACAGATAATAAAAGTGAAATTTACCTTGTGGCTTATAAATTGTGCCATTTTCAATTCATTTTTGGTTTATCTAAACCCTGATTCGAAATTGAAATACAGAGCATTTCTGATGAATGTGGCAAAGGCTTGGGCTACAGACCAGATGGTGGCCAGAGAACCAGACTCAGACAGACTTAGTGCGACCTAGCTCATCAACTCCCACCCCATGCAGGCCTCATGTGGACACCCTTGGGTGACTCTCATGGTGATATGTGGATACATGCCCTCGTGAAAATTGTGAAGAGTGAACATTCCAAGGGGAAACATCCTTCTAGGCAATGCCATGTTTGTGCAGTTCACAAAAAAAAGGACTATGACTGTCTACATTTGCAAGTATGTAATGCCACTTCACAAAGGGGAATGTTTCCAGAAATATCATACACTCGAGCACTTCTAGGAGCATTGGTAAGTGTTCTCCAAAAATTTTAGTTCATAAAATTAATTAGGAGATTTTATATTAATTTTTAAAGTGAACAGTGCACAAGTTAGGGTAGTAGGTATAAAAATGCCGGTTCCCAGGGTGATTTAAATATTTAAATCGCCAGTCCGCAAAGTGTTAACATCCTAGCCTCCTTGCCGGCATGCTTTGTCTGATGATGTAAAGTAAGGGGGGTAAACCTATCCCTGTAACAGGCCGCAGAGGCCCATAGGGTTGTGAGACATCGAGGCTCCCACATTTTTAGACAATCTGCTCACAGATGGCAGTGAGGTTGTCAGCCTCAGTGCTCCACCTCCCTTTACTACTAGGACGATTCCTGGTACGCATTCCCATCAGGCCGAGTTGACAACAGAGACATAGTGTGGCTGGAAGGATTAGGTAAATTGAAAAATCCAATGACCTCATCGGGAATCGATTCCACAACCTTCTGGCTTGTAGCATAGTGCTTCAACCAACTAGGCTATCGCATGCCCCTTGCCTGAGATGTAGACTGAGTAATCCAGCTGCTTCGGTGGAAGAGTTGGGGGAGACTAAGGGGAATGCAGGAAGGGAGGGTAGACAGAGTATGGAACAGTTCATGAGAATTCTTTGCCTGGCTCCACTATAGACAAATCACAGCAGTTGCTGTGTTGAGATTCTTTTTCTCTTTAATGGTTTGTGGTATGTGATGCCAAGCAGTGTAGTAAAAAGTTAAAAATATTTTGGAGGAGCTTGCTACTTCATTCTTGAGTTTAGAGAATTTCTTTTGTCCTGAAGATGGAGCCAGTAGACTCTTCTGAAACACTGTTAACATTACATTAGTCTATACAGTGTCACATTTTAGAAGACATTAATCTTAATATTTGCCACATTGGGAACCTTAACACTGAATCTCCATGTCTTATCATCTTCATTGCCTGGGAGGGGAAGGGACTTATCTTCACCATAACATTCAGACTAGCTCAGACTCATGCACAGAAGGTACTAGAAAGTTGTAAGGTAGGCTGCAGCATGAGGTTGCCTATTCATTCCCATATAGTATAGAGCTTTTCCACAGTGCCCCTTGCAAATATGCTAAGGCACAGTGGCAACTACCTTTATTTTTACTGTTATGGTACTATACTTTGTGCATTCACTGAATAAACAGAGGACTGGGTTGTGTATTTAACCATCAGATTTATTTCTGTTTACTCCTATCTTGCAGTCTACTGTTGGTCCCACAAACACAAGTAACAGCGAAATACATAGGAACTGCCACATAATGGAAGCTGCATTATACACCTTCAGATGTCATATACAATGGTCACATTTTGATGTTCCTTTGTTTAGCTTGTTCCCTTTGTTCCATTGTCTCTGGAAAATCAATAAATTCAGTCACTTTGTCCTGTTTAAGGTACACTCAACTCTCGATTATCCGGGGGCAGATAAACCAGTTTGCGGCTTAACCAGGGCTACCGGGGCTTTCTTGAGGCTTATATGTTGTTTAATATTCATTCACTTTTGTTTCACATGGTGAGTTGTAACACTATTTTCGCACTAGTGTGAACCGAGCTCTGCATTTTTTGTCCAGTTATGCTAACACAATGTTCTAGGATAGGAGTGAAAGAATGCAAGGATTTGTGGAAAGTTTCAGGGACAGATACACCGCCCCAGTTAGTCTGTTTATATTGATCTTCAAGTGCATTAGCTAAATGTCAGGGTGTAAAAGGAAGCGTGTTGTGTTAAATATTCAACAGAAACTTGTGTGAGCCGGACTTCAAAATGTTAAGCAGTGACGAAATCGTAAGTTCAGTGGGGGTGCAGCCAGAAGAGCGGGAAGAAAGTGAGAATGAGGAAGAGGTGGACAGTGCTGCTAGTAACAAAATATCACATGGTGCTGCTCTTAATCATTTGGAATCCTTACTAGACTATCTTGAGAGTGAAGAGAACAGTTTATTAAGTGACAAGCTAATATTACGTAGGCTTCGTAAAAAGTGTTGGATGTTGTTGAACACTGTGATTGAAATAACTAATTCATACTTCAGTGTAATGTAAAAAAGGCATTAAATAGGCCATGAGATGACATAGAAATGAGGTTGAATAAATTTAAATACAGGTAAGCATATAGTATTATGAAGGTACAGTATTACAGTACTACTTTTAATAAAATTTGTCTTAACAGGGTTTTCAATTAATCATGATTTCCATCCCCACCATTATCCCGCATAATTGAGAGTTGAGTGTACTGTGTTAGCATGAGGCGTGGTTTCTCAACCTGTGGAACATATCCCTGCAGGGGGTCATGACCAACTCTGAGGGGGATAATTCAGTCTACAAAAATTGTTTAAAATATAGTTGTATCTGCATGTAAGTCAGTACGGTTAAATGCAGGTGGTTTTGAAAATATACCTGCAGCTTCTTTAACATTTGCCAGATCATACGACATTCTGTTAGTTTACTGTAATGGTAGAGAGGTTGTGAAGCTATTCTGGCTCTTGTTGTCACTCTACAGTTTGGTAGATACCTGCAGCAATTTTCAGAACTGCACTTTTTGCTGACCAGCAGAGATGGGGTATCACATGAATTTACATACTATTTTAGGAGGTCATGGTATCACAATGTCTGAGAATCCTTGGTGTAGGGGCAAAAATTTTGGCATATTCAGATACAAAAATGAAGATCTATGTGTTCACATATACTAGATATTCTGGCCAATATTTAAGAGCAAAGCAGGATTGGAAACATGTTCTGCAATGAAAAAGAAAAAACCCATTCTGAATACATTATTTGCTATTTTATTGTCCATTTATTTAAGCTTCAAATCCATTCTTGCAAATACAAGGGTTGGATAAAAGGTAGTGGCAACACTGCTGTAACATGAAAGATGTGCATCAGATGTCCGAGGTGCAACNTGTAGCATTTCATTTAGTTGCATTGTGCACCATCTTGAAGTGCAGGAGCCCAGTTCAAGCACCCTAACAACATGTTTACGAAACAAGAACAACGCTCCTGGATAAAAATTGAAGTTGCACGAGGTTGTAGTGCACAAAACTGTTATCAGGGAGTGCGAGAAGCATGTGGTGATGCTGCTTTGCCATATCACACAGTGGCACGATGGGTGAAATTGTTCCACGAAGGGAGGGATGCCATTCAGGACGACCCAGTGCGACAGCCACACAGTTCAAATTCTTGCTTCTTTGCTGGATGTCGATAGTCAGTGGGCTGCGCAGGAGATAGCTGCTGAGGTAGGCATATGTCACCAAACCATGCTCCACATTCTGCACGATATTTTTGGATACCACAAAATTGCAGCAGCGTGTTGGGTACCCCATACAATGTCTGAGGTGCAACAATGGCAACGTTATGCAATTGTACAGGACTTGTTGGACCGGTATCAGAGGGAAGGATGATGACTTCCTTGGAAGGATCGTCACTCTGGACGAAACTTGGACTCGCTCATACGAACCACACTTGAAGCGACAATCAAATGAATGGAAGCATTCTGGCTCTCCTCGTCCAAAGAAAGCGCCCTGCACAGAGTACTGTGAAGGCGATGTTCATTGTGGCATATAATATTGATGGAGTGATACTGCACCACACTGTACCTCAATGACAGACAGTAAACGCTGCCTACTACTGCAATTTCCTGTATAATCATCTTCGTCCAGCACTCTGGAGATAACGACGATACTTGTTGGCAATGAACCCCATCATCCTTCATGACAATACAAAGGCTCATACTGCTGATGCTGTTAGGGATCTCCTTCACTGTTGGCGATGGGAGATAACTGCAACATCTACCATACTCACCCGATATGAGTCCGTGCAATTATGATCTCTTTGCCANTGGAGATAGCGACGATACTTGTTGGCAATGAACCCCATCATCCTTCATGACAGTGCAAGGGCTCATACTGCTGATGCTGTTAGGGATCTCCTTCACTGCTGGCGATGGGAGATACTGCAACATCCACCATACTCACCCGATATGAGTCTGTGTGATTATGATCTCTTTGCCAAAATGAAAGAACCACTGCAAGGGACACGTTACAACACAAGAGAGGAGATTATTCGTTCTGTAGGGCGGTCACTGCTGGACATCAACAGAAGTGGATGCACTGATGGTGTACGACGCCTTCCACAAATTTGGCAGAAGGTGGTACACATGGGGGGCGATTATTTTGAAGGAATGTAAGTGTGTTTACCTCAGGTAATAAAGTCATTTCAGAACTATAGAGGTGTTGCCACTACTTTTTATCCGACCTATATATAAACTTATTGTTGCAATGCTAATTGAACTGCATGTGGCCAGAAATTATATTTCCCCGTGCTTCATTAAACATTCACTTTTGTAAAATATGTCAAATAAAAGCTTAATTAGATATATGCTTTAAGTCACACATTAATATTTGACATTTATGCAGATAGAATTGTAGGCTGAAAACATAAATGGAAGACTGCTTTGGAGGTGTGGGTGTAAATAGGGGGGTAATTTTAAAATGTATTTTAAGACACCGTTTATGAAAATGTGGATGTAAGTCACCTGGCTCAGAACAGGGTCTGATTGTGTTGTGAACTTTCTAATGAATCATTTTGGGTTTGATAAAAGGCATGAAATTTCTTGATTGGCCAGTTGTCTAATAGCTTCTGAAGGAGGGCTTTGCTTACATGGAACTTGACTGAGTGAGTGAGTGAGCGAGTTGGTGGGTGAGTGGGTGAGTGAGTGAGTGCATGGGTGGGTGGGTGAGTGGAGTAGGAGTGAAGGAGTGAGCGAGTAAGTCAGTTAGGGAGTTATTAATTTTTTATGCAGTGAGGTACATTTTAGATCAGTTTGATAAATTAAACCTGGGTTTTGCAGAAAATAGGAATTATATTTTTTTGCAATAAACACAGATTTATGCTTTATGCAGACATCCTTTCAGACAGGCTTTACTCTAGAGGTTTATAATTTATACTCTGTATAAATGTACTGCATCTTAAATTTATTAAGCCATAGATTCTCTTTATTATACAGTTTATAAGACTGAAGTTTTACTGTTGTTTTGAGACAGTCTTCTCTATTGGAACAATGATTTTGTGTATTATTTTAGGGAAGTTGACAATAATTGTAGGACGTGTGGGCAGTGGGAAGACATCTTTTCTCTCTGCTCTGTTGGGGGAAATGTACAGACTTGAAGGAAGGGTCAGATGGGCCAGGTAAGAATGTGAGAAGTGATTATAAAATTTCTTAACTGTAGTTGTTTCTTTGTACATAGTACATACCACAGCTCTACAATCATGTCTGATTGCAAGTACAGTGCAATCTTGATACAATAAAAATTCATAAAATTTGTGAATATTCTTATTATAATTTGTACTCCTAATAACAACATAAGGTTATAATACATAACCTTAAATCCCAATTTCTTATTGCCTATATTAGGCTTACTATACAACACTAAGGTTTAAAATGTATCCAAGTTCAGTAGTATATATTATCTTTGGCATGTTCATAATGAAAAGTTATGAAAAGGTGCATATTTAGTTCACCATGTTTGTGTGTCTGTCCACCTGTTCACATGTAACAACTGACGAATGGTTAGGTACATTTTTGTGAAATTTAATATTGGAGAGTTTCACTAAAATCTGTCCCCACGTATTGTTTTGGTTAAAGCTGGATAACAATACTGGATGATTTACATGAATAAAATATTACATGTCTGCACACATAATTCACATATTTATCACATTAAGAATTGTGTGTAACAGAAGCTGCAGATAAAAGTGAATGTCACATTTTATGCCACTACACTTTTCCTTTAAGTTCTGTAATCCTTGATATAATGAACGAAAATTGATTCTATGCCGTATACAGGCTAGAATTATTACAGCATATGAGTATTTCTTGTATTACGCTTCACTGAAGTGACTGTCATGTGAATATGAAAATAATGAAGAAACTGAATCTTTATAATCGTTATTTTTTAGTAATATCCCTCTTTGTTGTTATGTATGATGGAAGTAGCCTATACTGAATCTGCTGAGTAGAGTGCTGTACAACAGGACACTTCAGAACAGACTTATGAAGAATTTAAATTTATATATTTTAGCATCTTTATTGGAATAGAAAACTAGAATATAAACGGTAATTTATAAATAATTTACTATTGTTCATTTGAAGTAACAGATTTTGTATTACAGTAACCCATAAGTCATGAGTCAGTGAATTACAGTAAAACTGTATTTTATTTACACAGATTGAAAGCTTCTCTTAAATGAGAAATTAATGACACAGTTATGCCATGTACCAGTTTTCTTAATAGGATTAGTCAATTTGAGAAAACTGGTAAAATTTGTCAAGTAGACAAATGAAATTTGTTGACCAGCAGTTAGAGTACACCCCCAGTACTAAATTTGATTAATGTTGGATTTGAAATATGTGAACAAATAGATGGATGGACCAGCACAGCTTTTGTGTGTATATTTGTTGTGTACAACCTGTGCAAAGATTACATACAAGTATTGTAAGTTATTCAGAGGAGGTATTTCTCACTTTATTCCACAGTGGTTCTGTGATTGGATATGCTTCACAGAAGCCCTGGGTTTTGAATACTACCTTAAGGGAAAACATCTTGTTTGGGCAGCCATTTCGACCTCGCCGATATGGACGTGTCATTGCAGCCTGTTCCCTGCAGCCTGATATCGATATTTTGCCAGGCAAAGATCTCATAGAGATTGGGGAGAAAGGTATCAATCTGTCAGGTGGACAGAAGCAGCGAGTATCAGTGGCCCGTGCTCTCTATTCTCAGGCCAATGTTGTTATCCTGGTGAGTTTTTACAGTTATTGTATCTTGAATCTTTTGATAGGATAACTTCACAGCAAAATGCCCACTGTGTTTTAATGCCATACCAGTTATTGTGGTTAGGTGGGTAGCAATCTTATTTGTTTTCATGATGTCCTCAGTTCAAATCTAAGCTCAGAGATTGGCTACCTTGGCTGAAATGTTTCATGTTCTTCATCAGATGCTTTGGAATTCTATCTCAAATTAGACCGCAGCCCATTCCTTCCACATCCTTTCCAAGTCATTGTGTTAATTTAGTTTTTATAATTCAAACTATTGAAGATGTCATTAAATGAATAAAGACAAAAGATATACATGTAACAGGCATAGGAGGCCCATAGGATTGTTAGATGTCAAGGCTCTCACATTTTCTAGACAGTCGGCTCACAGATGGTGGTGAGGTTGTCAGCCTTATGCACCAACTGCCCTTAACCTCCAGGAAGGTTCATGGTACTAATTTCTATTAGAGGCTGAGTCGGCCCCAGAGCCATAGTGCAGTTGGAAAGATTAGGTCAATTGAAAAATCTAATGACCTCATTTGAAATCAAACCTGTGACCTTCCAGGTTGTAGCATAGTGCCTCAACCAGCTATTCTACTGAGTAAATAAATAAATACAGTGTGGTCGCATTTTATGCAAATTTGAAGTTGTGTGATGTAAAAAAATGTTAGTAAAGTCTCGCTATATGCACAAAGTTTGTAATAATGCGAATCCCAAAAAAATTCGTCCAGAATCACATATTTGTTTCAAAACTATGAGAAAAGTTGTCTTAAATTATGAAAAAGTCTTCAGAAACATGTTCTTGCATAAAATGTGACTGCACTATACATAGATGTTGGATCTGAGGTTCTCATGATCGTGACTATAAACTGCTGTCTCCTGGTTTACAACGCTGTGTATCGTAGAGGAAACTTGACATTTCCGAGGAACACATTGCCTTCATTTTCAAGAGTCAAAGAATAAGCCAAGCAGGGAACCACCAGAAGGAGATGGTACAACCATTCAGATGTATAAATGGTTGCAGTGACATCTCCTTCTCACATCTCATGAGCAGATGTCTGTGGCAGTAGTGGTAGTGTAGTCCAAAAATGGTGTATCGTGTTGCAGGATGACCCCCTATCGGCTCTGGATTACCAAGTGGGGCAGAAAGTTTTTGATTCCGGAATCAGACGAATGCTTCTGAGGGAGAAGAGAACTGTAATTCTTGTGACACATCGTCTTCAGCTGCTTGCGCATGCACACCAGGTACACTAAGAGTTCAAGGTTACATGCACATCTTCTGGTCCCTGGAATCCATTTTGTGAGTCATACCACACATAGGACTACGGTGAAGTAACTTTCAGTAATCGACTAAATATTTAAGCTCTTATGGGCAGAAATATTCTACTTCAGAGAGAAACATTTCTGTGTTATAAGTAGAGCTGTTCCAAAAAATATGCAGGGTGCTATAATGAGCTTTAATTTCTGGATATTTTATGCCAGAAGTAACATGTACAAAATTGATATCTTAGAAGCATCCATCTATCCTTCTTGTTCCAACTTGAAGCATAGGGCACCCGTGAAACACTTTGTTTCACTTCAGTTTCTCAATCTTAGAAAATCTGTAGGATCCCTTGGATGGGGGATCAGCAAACGCAAGGCCACTATATACACAGAATAAACGCAGACAAACATCTGTGCCTTGAGTGGGATTCGAGCCCACGATCCCAGTGTTCAAGCAGATGAAGACATTTCATGCCTTAGACCATATGATCACTGTGATCATCCTTAGAAGCATACTGAGTATAAATGCAAGAATGAAATATTGGTTTGATATCCAAATTCACATCTGAAATGTCAATTTACATTTTTCACAACAAATATTTTATTTGGCAAACATAATTATTCAATATTTTCTAAAATATTAAATTAATAAGAGATGCAGCCTTTTCAAAGATTATATAATGTGACATATTACAACCCAACGTTCACCATTGTATGACTGACTTATTTGTATCTTTGCTAAGTCTAAAGGTAACAGGATAAGTGTTTATCCAGTGTACATAATTTAATTATGACTGCCTTAATAATGTGTATACACTATCTATAAAATTTATGGGTCACACCATAGCTCAAGTGGTTGGGTACTAGTTTCTCATTGCAGAGTCTCATGTTCGAATCTGGGTAACTTATGTGAGACTTGTCACGGATATAGTGGTACTGAGTCAAAAATTTCTGTGAGTTTCTTCAGCTGAACATCACCGCCTCCTGAGGTGTGTGGTACCTTGACCAGGCAACATATCACATCTTCACTGTGTATGTTGGAGACTTAATTTCCAATTCAGCAACTGGCTGGTTACAGAATTATGATTTTCTTCTGTAATATTGATATCCATGTCTAAATATTATGGCAAATTGATGACCAGTAAAAGATTTGCATCTGACTAATGGGGTGCAAAGAAGACACTGTTCCTTTCTTCTTTTAGAATGACAATAAGAGAAAACAGGATAGAACTGAATGTTAAAGGTGACAGCTCTTCCTTTACTTGGTTTGTGATTAAAATATCATATTGTCAACTGATGGAGTGTGACTATAGAAGGAGTTTGGATTGGTAATCGGATTTATTGAACACTTACAGCTCATAGCTACAAATAACTATGACAGTCTCACTGAGTTACACACTCCAAAGATTGCTGCAAATACAGCACACATAAAGTCTTCTCATTCTTCATTAGCCGTTGCTTGGTAGAGGCTTCCAACAGGGAACGTTCCCTATCCTCTGGTGGCCTCAGCTACCATCTTCTCACTTCTCAACAACTGCAACAAACCACTTCTACTTAGTGACACTGAGTCCACTTGGTACTGTGGCTACTATTGGCCTATTGTACCAGCCCCAGATGATAGATGATGGTGATTGTGGAGCAATTGATGGAATGAAGATTGACAGGGGAAACCGAAGTATTCAGAGAAAACCTGTTGCAGTGCAACTTTGTCCACCACAGATCCCACATGACCAGACCCATAATCGAATGCAACAAACTACTAGTCCTTGTTATGCTTATAGCCCCAACACAGACCACACAGAAAACATCTCTTCCATTATGGCATATTCTCTAGTCACCAGGGAAACATGTCCACAGAGCTGTTCCATAGCAATGGCTGTTGTGCTGTCACTTATTTAAGCAGCTGTTGCTTTGAAGTTTGGTACTGCTGGAGATCATAAAAGTATATCTGAATCTCTGGTGAAAGTGTTGAAGTTGTTGGCAGATCATTGCCCTGGAAGGCGGGGCTGTGAGGGCCCAAGGATCCCTGGCAGAGATTGAGGCAAGTGACCGAGAGCTTGTTCACATATGGCGAACCACAGTGTCACGGGAGGCTTTGGAAGAAAAGAGGAATGCTCGTGGTGAGGCAGCTCGTGAACGCTGGCAGCTGCTGAGACTTGTGTCTCGCATTGGAATGCAGCTCAAGCAACGCAACATTGTGGATGGAACCTGGCAGACAGATGAAGAGGCTCATGTAGTAAGCAAGAATTTTTTTCTCTAAGTCACATTCCTGGGGCCATGTGGTAGCGTAGTTGGTTGAGGTACTGTGCTACAAGCCGCAAGGTTGCGGGTTCAAGTCCTGATGAGGTCACTGGATTTTTTTTTTTCAATTGTCCTAATCCTTCTGGCCACACTGTGGCCCTGGGGTCGACAGAAATGAGTACCAGGAATATTCTTGGAATATTCTTGTGGGTAAAGGGCGGCCGGTGCATAGGGCTGACAACCTTGCCTCCATCTATGAGTCAATTGTCCAGAAAATGTGGGACCCTCAGCATCTCAACCCTATGGGCCTCCACAGCCTGTTACAGGGATACCTTTACTTTACTTTTTACTCAAGTCATATTGCTGGTTTTAGCATTCAGCAGTAACTTTTGCTATTCTAATTTTAATTTATTTTTGTACTTCTGCAGTAAATTATAATTCATATTGATGAAAAGTCATAAATTATCTTCACTTGTCTTGAATTGTCAAGAGATCAAAGAATAGTTTATTTATGCTTATAAAATATAAAATATATAGAAGTGGCCATAATTTATTAACATATTTGCCACCGTGCTCCAGTACTTGCATTTTACCTGCTGGACCTGTGATTTTTCTATGAAAAGTGGATTTTGAATTTACTACACTTGAAAGGGAGAGGAAGAAGCAGGTAAAATGCAGTCACTGTTTGATTCATATTTCTGCTCTTTGTTGCTTGATAGGCTGCTCTTAGAATTTCTTTGCATTTGAGTGACATCTGTAGGAGAAAATACTTATGTATTCAATGGATGTCACTTAATGGGTTTGGCTCTGTGGCACACTAACCTTCAGCCCATCAGCTGATATGGATTGCAGTTAGGGTGTTGATGAATTTTTCATTCATATCATTGAAAGGGTTGAATATAGTACATAAGTTACCTCTGTGAATATTCTCCACATCATAGAGAGATATGGGGAAGGTAGAGGTAAATCTCTGCATGTTCCAGATATTCTGACACCAGTTGTCTCGTGTTGGGTATGTCACGCAATTGCCTATTGCATGATGTCACAGCCTAGTGGGGAGGGGTGTTTACCGAGTGTTGCATAATGATGGGAGAGTGGGGGTACATGATGTCACTCGTGAAAACATAGAGTTCATGTGACCTCTACTTTCTGTTGCGCCATCCACGTTACAGTATTATCCCTAGAAGGTGTAATTTAATATGTACCATACATTAGTCTGTAAGTTTAATTTCTTTGGTCTGTAAATAATGAAAAAATAGATAAGACTTAAGTTTCTTACAGCGGTGGCTATGAGGAGTTCTGCCTTCTGGGATAAAGAACCATATATTTGTCCACTAGGCCCCTATTTCACACCCATGGTATGGACAAAACAGGTCTTTGCAGTTGAATAGTTTCATTCTATTCAAAAAGAACACAACAAACGAAAAATACAAGAAGAGAAATTACAGATTCAAAGATTTTATATTGGACTGTGTAGAAAAATGACTGAACCAAAGAAACAGGGTGGAGAGGGAGAAGAGTCAAGGAATGAAGTGGATGACAAATCTATTGCGTCAGATTCGAGTGCAGTCGCGCCTCCGCCCTCGACCTTGAAAAGACCACCAGTGAAAGAGCCAGTAAATCGTCTAGAGGGTGGCTTGAAAATTCACAAAATGGTCCATGTTCCTCCCAGTAACAAGAAGAATGGTGCCCTGAGAAAGTGTCGCGTGAGTGCTAAGCACAAGATTAGAAAAGAAACAAGTATCATGTGTGCAGGCTGTGGTGTGGCTCTCTGCAAACTTTCATGTTTCAATGTTTATCACACGAAGAAAAACTAATAAAGAGGTATGGAAAGGCATTTATTGCATAAAATATTGTATTTTAATTAGTTCCTGAAAATTTCGTTTTTAAAAACCAATTTTTGTTGAAGTTGTTTAGGAAAAAGTAACTACATGCATTTTAGCGACATAAGGTTTAAAGGGCCTGCCAGGACAGGGGTGGGATTTAAATACCCTTTGTGCCAGTCAAAGAGTTAACATCCACTTCAGTTTCACAGTTTTCCAAAGCCGCGAACCTATTTGAGATTTCAACATAATACTGCTCTTTACCCTCTACCTCATTTAATTTCTTGAGATTGAACCTCTCCATATGAACTCTGTGTGTTGTTTGTTTGCTCACTGCCAGTCTTTCCCTAACCTTTGCCACCACCAGGTAGTGGTCAGTATCACAATCTGCTGCCCTGAATGATCGGACTTCAAGTATACTTGATTGCCGTCACCTGTCTATCAAAATATGGTGTATTTGATTGTGTATCTTCACATCAGGAGATGTCCATGTAAATTTATGGATGTTACGATGTGAGAACTTTGTACTTTTGACAGTAAGATTTTTTGATGTGGCAAAGTTTATTACTCTAACTCCATTATTGCTACTGATTTCATGCAAACTCTCATTCCCAATTGTTGGTTTGAGAATGTCTTCCCTCTCTACTTTGGCATTGAAATCTCCTAACAATTTTCATAGGGTACTTCTGGAATTTGTCAAATACATGTTCTAGTTCTTCATGGAATCTGTCCTTTATGTCATCAATTTTATCTTATGTTGGTGCTTGAACATTCATAACAGTGATACCACACCAGCTACCTCTTAGTATTATATATGATATCCTATCACTAACGAACTCTACCCTCTTAACTGCTGATACCTAATTTATGATTTTCATTCCCCTTTCCATAGAAAAATGTATATTCTCCTGCTGGTGTGATGCCACCTCTGTCCCATCTGACTCCCTCTATATCTAACTTATATTTTAAGATTTCTTCTGATACTGGCCTGAGCGAACCTGCACTATACAAACTTCGAACATTCCAAGTGAGATCCTCTCTTTTCATAAACCTTTGAATTATCTGGAAACTTCCAATTCCTCTCTTATTATCTCATTTATCAGTCTGTCTCATTTCAGTTTTCCTGCAGTGCAATGTCCAACTTGAATCCTGAACATGAAAATGGAGAGGACTACAGGGAGGCATGTAAACACACTAGAGTACTCTCTTCTGGGATATAACGTCCTGTACACAGAGTTTTATTCCAGAATATAGTACCCTTCATATCCACCAATGTAAGAACCTTAAGTCCTACATGTAAACACTCCGTGTTTTTTTTAGTCCACAAGTGAATTATACCAACCAAGCAGTCACCACTTGTTGGCGAGGTTAGTGCCCACTTTAGCGGATAGAGTGTGTCGCGTGGTCGGTGCAGTGAATCCCCATGGCCGTTAGTTTTGTTTTTCTAGACCAGAGCTGCTATTCTCTTGAAATAGCTCCTCAAGTATTCTCACAAGGCTGAGTGGATCCTGTTCCAGACCAACTACTTCTCAGAAAATCTGGTAGCGCCAGGAATCGAAACTGGACCTCTGGATGTGTAGCCAGGAACTCTGAGCACTAGACCACAGAAACACTACATTATAATTTGTTTTTAGATGTGACCTTGAAGTTGGAAAAGCATATATATATCACCACCTTGGTCATTTAATCCGCATTTGATCATAGTTATTCAAACACGTCAAGATCTCATTATTGCTGCTAATAATGTCTCTGAGACTGAACCATGCAACGGTTCTTCCCTGTGAAGTTCCTTGGAGTCCTCCCCCCCCCCGAAACGCCAGGATGCGAGCCGTTCCTCTTTTTCCACTTATAGTCTTAGCTGACGTCAGGTCAGCTGACCTGGTTCCCCCCCCTCCTGGAAGCAATGCGAGGTTTCCTGGTTAAGCAGAACGAATGCATCGCTCTCTCTCCCCGATACCTCCAGCCAGGTAACTTCGCTGCTCCCAAATTCTGTGTTTAGGTTGACTTGAGCTTGTGAAATTCTGTTTCGGCCCGTGCAGTATCTGAAGGGGGAAGAGTGCCCTCGCGACGTGATGAAGGTTTTATCAAGTCGCGAGGTTAATCTTGTGTTTGTAATTTGGAAACGCCAATAAGTGACTTACTGTTGTATTTGGTTTCCTTTTCATCACGACGCCGTGTGGCGTAAGTAAATGGATTTGTTTGAAGTTTGAGTTGGCTTGAATAGCCGGTCGCCCTTCAGGCGTGTCAGTACGAGTGTATATTTCTTTGTGCCCTTAAGGCTTGTGTACCCTTAAGGCTCGCCAGAGTACAGTCTTTTCCTAGTAAAATTGATCAATGCCATGAGGCGTGCCTATGCTTGCGTCTGTGCGCTTAGCCACAGAGTAATTCTGTATAAACGGTTGATTATGTTTTGACCAGTGCCTGCCCATCAGGCAGAGTACACCTGTATACTTTGTTATCAATATACACATTTGTTTATATGTTGGAAACGCCATTCATATTTGTGTATACTTGGGTTGTGTGTGTGTTCCCTACTAGTTCAGACTAGCAGATCCGTCCAGCTTNACTGGACCTCTGGATGTGTAGCCAGGAACTCTGAGCACTAGACCACAGAAACACTACATTATAATTTGTTTTTAGATGTGACCTTGAAGTTGGAAAAGCATATATATATCACCACCTTGGTCATTTAATCCGCATTTGATCATAGTTATTCAAACACGTCAAGATCTCATTATTGCTGCTAATAATGTCTCTGAGACTGAACCATGCAACGGTTCTTCCCTGTGAAGTTCCTTGGAGTCCTCCCCCCCCCCGAAACGCCAGGATGCGAGCCGTTCCTCTTTTTCCANACAAACTAATTTTAATGGTACTGTACATCAGAATTCTGTTGCATTATTTTTATCTTCATTGGGTGTTTTCAACATCGAAATGCAGTGTTTTTATATTTGCCTTCTATCATACGTACACCTTTCTACAACATATTTTGGCCTCCATAGGCATAGTTACTTTTGCTAAAATTGTTGCACACACAGCCAGAATAACTCAACAAGGAGCAACACCAACACACCTCTTGGGGGGGGTGTGATTGCACACAGTTGGCAGTGCATGCTGCTGGCAGTTGACGAATATTGGCAAAGTAACAATGTGTTGCACATGTGACTAAATTGAACTGACAGTATTAAAGTTTAGCAAGAATGACAATGCCTGAGGGTGGCAGTGTGAGGCCAGAACATGTTGTAGAAGAGTGTACATATGTAGAAGGTAAGAATAAAAACATTGTATTTGGACAGTGAAAACGCTTATCCACTGGAGATTAATTTTAATGGAGCCCAGCTTGCCAGAAATTGAGACTTCTCTGGAAGAAGCAGTTCTAGCTATTTAAAACCTTGAGATCATCATCATCATCATCATCACCACCACCACTGCCACCATTTTCATTTTCCATCTTTCCATTTTTACTATTTTTATTCTGTTTCAGCTTACTATTGTTCCCATCTCTCTACAGGAACTGTATATTTCTGGTACCCTCTGGTCCCAGTTTTCTACATATTTTCAGTCTTTTATAATTAGTAAAGATATGAAGAAAACTGTTAATTGAGACATGTCATAAACTGTTTCTCATGTTACACAGACTCTGATATGATTGAATTTTGTAGGAAACCTGTCATGCTGAAATTGACTCTTTGGTCAATCAGTTGGCAATGGAATAAAATCCATATATTTCATATTTTGTAGAAAAAATGTATGTTTCCAGACTAATGGTGTGGAATCAATTAAAAAGTGGAAATGTTCTAACCAATATTTCGTAAAAAATGAATTTCTCTAAACGTGTAAAGATGCATATTTGGCTGATGTACTTAGTGAATAATCCGTGCTTTATATCAGCATTCCTCTACATGCAGTATTAAAAGTCTTTTATTTGGAAGTAAATTAATAGTTGAAAAGTAAAGAATTTGATGCATATAATTATGTTGGAAAGTTTGATTGCTCCGCAATAATGTTTATTTGAATTTAATTTATTCAGATGCGGCCAGCATTCCTCCCACTCCGTCGGCGCCGAGGCACATTCTCTGGATCCCGTTACTTTACCCATGATTTACTGTTACCAACGGATGAGTGTGAGGAAGAGTTCTTGGAACAGGCTGGGCGAACAAGTGGTGGAAGTGGACGTTCATCACAGCGCCGCCGGAGCAGAGCTGCCACAACTACAGAGGCACCCAGTGTAGCACAACAACAGTCTGCTCTTCTGCGGGCCTCATCTCTTCAGGCAGGTCGCACTACAGTGCATGGTGACACTTACATCAAACGAAACTTGCGCTCATCCACTATAGTACGACAGCGTTCATCTCAAAATATAGAGAACTCACAGACCTCACCAGACATAAATCGCAGGTACTGCCAGACTTTCAATAAAATAAGTATATTTCAGGTCATCCATATCTAGGCAGTTTGCTTGCCTGCACCAAGCCAGCCACTTTAAAACTGTAGATACTATAAAGAAAATTCTAGACAGTCAGCTCACAGATGGCAGTGAGGATGTTAGCCTTATGCACTGGCCTCCCTGTATCCCATGAAGATTTCTCATATTCATTTCTGTTAGAGGCTGAGTCATCCCCGGGCCCATAGTGCAGCTGGAAGAATTAGGTCAAAAATCCAGTGACCTCATCAGGAATCAGACCTGTTGTAGCATAGTGCCTCCACCAACTATGCTACCACATGCCCCCACACGTACTGCAATTTGGGTTCTTTAAACAAACATAACATGCTATCTATATGACAAATTTTGTTCATATGTTCATTACTTGGTCTTCAATATATCTGATAAGTTCAAACACTCATTTCTACAAAGAATCTGTTGTCCTAGTTATAAATGTTCTCTCCCTTCATTCCAGTTTATTGCTAGACTTCAAGCAAGCCCATGATTCAGTTAGGAGGGAAGTATTGTACAATATTCTGATAAAGTTTGGGATACCCATGAAACTAGTTAGGTTGATTAAAATGTTTAAACGAAATGTATAGTAAAGTCTGTATAGGTAAACATTTGTCTGATAAATCTCCTATCCAGAATTGCCTAAAACAAGGAGATGCTTTATCGCCACTCCTTTTCAACTTTGCTGTAGAATATGCCATTAGGAAGGTCCAGGGAAACCAGGTGGGACTGAAATTAAATGGGACACGTCAGCTGTTGGTCTTTGCCGATGATGTGAATCTACTGGGTGATAATGTAGATACCATAAAGAAAAACACACAAACTTTAATTGACACAAGTAAAGAGGTTGGTCTAGAAGTAAACACAGAGAAAATTAAGTATATGTTGCTGTCTCATCACCAAAATGCAAGGCAGAATCATAACATAAAGATAGGAAACAGATGTTTTGAAAATGTAACACAGTTCAGATATTTGGGAATGATGATAACAGATCGAAACCTGATTCAGGAGGAAATTAAGAGGAGATTGAACTCGGGTAATGCTCGCTACCATTCAGTCCAGAAGCTTTTGTCTTCTTGTCTGCTCTGTAAAAACACAAAATTTAAAATATCCAAAACTATAATTTTGCCTGTGGTTCTGTATGGGTGTGAAACTCGGTCTCTAATGTTAAGGGAGGAACAGAGACTGAGGGTGCTTGAGAACAGGGTGTTGAGAATATTTGGACCGAAGAGAGATGAAGTGACAGGTTGGAGAATACTGCACAATGAGGAGCTTCATAACTTGTACTCTTCTCCAAGTATAATTGGAATGATCAAGTCAAGGAGGACGAGGTGGGCAGGGCATGTAGCACAAATGGGGGAGATGAGGAATGCGTATAGGATATTGGTGGGAAAGCAAGAAGGAAAGAGACCACAGGGAAGACCAAGGCGTAGGTGGGTGAACAATATTTGAATGGATCTTAGAGAGATAGGATGGGATGGTATGGATTGGATAGATCTGGCTCAGGATAGGGACCAGTGAAGGGCTCTTGTGAACACGGTAATGAACCTTTGGGTTCCATAAATTTGCTGAGAAATTCTTGAGTAGCTGCAGAATTGGTAGCTCCTCCAGAAGGGCTCAGCTCCATGAGTAAGTAAGTAAGTAAGTAAGTATAGTTTGGTATGAAAAGTTATGAGTATCTTATAGACCATATTTCCCAGGGTGAAGGTGCACCATTACTCTGGATTTGAGTTTCTCACAGTGGTGAATATGAAGTGACCTTCTGGATTGTAACACGATGCACTCTGGCAAAAGTCCAACATTTTGGAGGAATATATCGCCTTCAAATTGAGGTTGGAAGAATGGCCAAACAAGAGACCAACATGAAGGGGAACTCTGCAACATTTTCTCCACGTCAGCCAGTTTAGCCTCAGTCAAAGTGGCCGGTCTCCCGGATCCCTTCCTATCTGAAACTGATCCACATTCCCGAAATCGGTTGATTGTTCTCATTATCATCGAATTGTTAGGAACTGTAGAATCTGGATATTCCCAACAAAACTTGTCTGTGACACGTGCATAAGAACGACTGGCGAAATAATGTTCCACAATGAAAACTTGTTCTTGGGAAAATGACATGTCTGTCACACAATAAACAAAGGTATACTGCAGACTTCGTATGACTGATACATGACAGATGGCATTTTTACTCGTTAGTACTCTTACAGTACCATCTAGTGGTAGGAGGATATAATTATATTAACTGCAATACAATTTATAACAACTTTTAATTTGAAGTGCGCGACTTTTCGATCTCCCTGTACATTACTAACTTTTTAAGTGTGCCCTATAAACCTGCCATGGGCATTCAGGGGAAGCCTGAAAGTGAAGGGGTTCAAGGGTAATATGATACAGCATTCCATTCTACTCTGACTTGGTTTACTTGATATTATATTTTAGAATCCTGTTGCACTTTTCACAAAGTGTCATTTAGTTTTTTACAGTCTCACATGCAACAGTATGTTCTATAAAATATATTAAAAGTTATTCCCTTTTAAAAGTTTGTCACTACATATTTTGCCCAATGTGGTCATCATCAGGTGTAAAAATTACTGGAGGAGGAAATTTCTGTCTTCTGTTGTTGCTTATGTTGTTAATATACAAGTCCCCATGATATGCATGTGTGTTTGAGTTGATGGGTTGTATTCTCTCCTTTCCTGTGTTGTGTTGCATGTGAGACTGTAAAAAACTAAAACAACGCTTGGTTTACTTTTTTATTCCTCTTAGTTTCTAATGCAAGTTCTGAAATCAAACCAGAGTTCCATGCTTTGGCGAGTATTGTTATAAATTGCTTAAATCAAATATGACATTTGGTGGTCATTTATGAAGCAGATCTCTGCGTATATTCCATACCCTCACACCCCTGTTTTGCTGAATAAATAAACTTGGTTCCTTGACGATGTTGAATTACAAAATCCTTCTGTCATACCTTCACCGATTAACAATCCCTTATTGATATAAAAGTGTCCCCCGTTTATGTCCCATTTTCTGATATATCTCTTGCCATTCACACTCCCTTCCTGATATATTCAGGATATTTATAGCAAAAACACACTGAATAAAAAGAATAATAACATATTTAGTAATTTATCATGTTCATCTTCCAGGCACCGAGCATTTACAGGCTTGGATAACCCTAGCCAGCCAGGGAGTTTGCTACGCCATATTTTCTCCATCCACTCACAAAGGTTGGTGCCAGTCAGATATTTCTCTTGTAAAATTGTGGATCAATGATCCCTTGACTTATGGCAGTGAAGGAAATAATTTTGTCACTATTTTAGAGTGACTATAGATAGGGTTTGGATTGATAATTGGATTTATTGAACGCTTACAGATCGTAACTACAAATAACTATGACAGTTGCACTGAGTTACTCCAAAGATCACTGTAACTACAGCACACAAGGTCTTCTTGGCCTTCCCTAGCCATTGATCAATAGCATCTTTCAATGACAGATGTCCCCTTCCTCTGGGTTCCCGAACTGCCCCCAATCTCAGCCACAGCAGCTCTTGACTGATGACTGAGCCAGTCATCAACCACTTTTAACATCGCTCAACCGACTGTCATGAACTGACTGTCATGCTTATAACATCTCCACGTGCACTGCACAGAAAACACCGTTCCTCTATTACTGTTTCAATCATTGCCATGCAAACAAGATTGTTTGTGAAGTCATTACATATTAACGGCTGTTGTAGTATATTTGCTGATCTCATGGTTATTGCCCTAATCCTTCCAGACACACTGTAGCCCTAGTGTTGACTCAGCCTTTGACAGAAATGAGTACCACGAATCTTTCTGGGGGGCTAAAGGGCGGCCAGCACCTAAGGCCATCATACTGCCATCTGTGAGCCAGTTGTCTAGAGAAAATGTGAGAGCCTCAACATCTCACAACCCTATAGGCCTTCACAGTCTCTTATGGGGATAGCTTTACATTTACCATGGTTATTGCCCAACATTGGGTCTACATGACAGTATTGTCATGATTTATACATGTGACTATAGTTGGGGTATGGATTAGTGAATGGATTTATTGCCATTCAGAACTACAAGTAATTACAATACCACTGCTAATCTCCACGATTCACAAATCACCACAGCACATACTAAGCCTTTTTCCAGCCTGTTTTACCTTCATCAGCCTTTCCCTAGCAACAGCTTCTAACAGTGGAGAGTCTTCAGCTTCCTTTGCTCAGGTCCTGTCTTCACAGCGTCTCATGCAGAACTCAGCCCTCAACTAACAACTCTGAACTCCCAGGGTGGCAGCCATATGACACCTACCTCCTAGTCTTCTCTTCACAGGCTGATTTTCAACTGACAGTTAACTGGGTCACCCCAATTATCTTCAAGATAACTCCTCGGCACCAACCACATATAAAACACCCTCATTTCCATTGTTGTAGTTCAGTCGTTCAGCTTCCTTTCTTTGGGTTGCATAATACCATTTCCAGCAGTAACTCTGTTGTTGTAAAAGCATGTTTACTGTGCCATTGCGTAGCAACAGTTGTTGTCTTATTGTTTGTTTCGAGGTCATTGTGTAGCAATGAGTCTCTATGCCACAGTATGTTACAAATGCAAAGGCCCAAATGATGGCTGTCAAATATTTGAATCCTTTGACTAGTACTAGATGTGTGCCTTCTTGCCACAGTCAAAATCTCAAGAATTATCTAGTGAGTGTGATTTGTTGACATATTCCAAATAGTAGTACATTTTTTGTCATTCAAGTAGTGTTTGTAGGCCAGATGTGTCTTTAAGGACACCATGATCTCACGAACAGTGAGTTCTCCATGTGCATCTCTTTCAGGCTTGAAGCAACTCCTACTGTACAAAGAGTCTGAGAAAGAACTCCAGATTTCTAGTTGTAAACAGTTATTCTCTGCTTAGACACAAAATTTTTGTAACAGAAATTAGTAGGTAGTCTCACCAAGTTTTACTGTCATTTAGTGCAATTCGATTTGGGCACCATTGATGGCCCTACAGACGTTGAAAGAAAAATCCAGTTCACCCCACACCTGACAGAGCACATCGTAGCCCTTTTCAGGGGTCCCATAAGTTTTCTTTGCAGGAGATAAACTCCACAACTTTATTGCACTCTTCTGATAATGCAATTTTAAAGGAATAGGATGTGATTTGATTCGACTCTCAGGATAAACTCCAGTGCCAGGCATATGTGAACATGTTAACAGTCTTTGGTGCTCCAAAGGACCAGAGAATCTTTTGTCCAGTTGAGTGAGTAATTACATGTCAGGGAATATCCTACACTTGGGGCTTAAATATTTTATTTTCTGTAATGTTGATGGATGGAGTTAGTGGTTGCAATTAAGAAATGTTGCCCTGCATGTTGAATAGATTCTCATGACATTGGCATTTCATGTATCTGCAGATGAGTTCCAATTATGAGTGTGTTTTATTAACTATTGGAACCTATGGCCTGGCAAACATAACCTGAAAGTACTGGCTATCAGGAAAGTAGCTTAATGTTATTCTAAGTAACAGAAGCATCCTTTCCCAATTCATGGTGTGTCCAGTGTAAAATTATGCTTTTGGTCAAGGTCAGGCAACATTGCAACATCTGCAGTGTCAGATCATGAGCAGCTGAAACGACTTCCCTCTACTTCATCTGCTGTGAGTGATGACATAGACGATGATGAGCCATGTAAGTACTCGCTGCATATTTTGCGTCACAGCTCAGAGTTAATTTAGGTATGATTTAAAGTAACACAATTATTATGTTTCTGGTCATTATCCATCATCCTGTCTTTATTTAAAATTCACGACGTTTGAGAGACTGGATTATGTCACTGTCTTCAGGTGGAACCTACTCAGTTGGGCCCAGTTGATAGAGCTGTTCCCTATCCCAGGTCACCAATGGCAACACCTGATAGAATATATAAACCAAGCACAGCATAAACCATCTGTGAGAGTTAAGACAATCATTAAAAACGTTCATAACTTCACATATATGAGGTCTAACACCTATGTCTATGCACTATTTCATGACTATTATCAAAATCAGAATACTGTCAGAATAAAAGTCATCACTAAAGAGATGTGATGACTGCTATTCTGATAGTAATCTGTTCACTAAACAGATGTTATGTGATTGTTCAAAATTGTTTTTTGCTCTGGTAGATACGTATGATATGCACAGAAACTCACATTGGTCGCCATGTAAAAGTATATCTTTTTGATCTAATTTTCACTAAAATTGGAATGTAAATAGATGTTGTTAAAACTGTCTAATGTCACATTTCATTAATGTCTACTCAACATTTCTTGAGTTGTTCCATTTATTCAAATACATGGATGCAGTGAATGTAATAGGTGCTTCATAAGGTTGCAGAAACAACTAAAACTGTGAGATGATGGAGGAACAATTTGCAAATATAAGAAATTACTCCTACCCTTCTCACTATCCTTTCCTTCTGTCCAACTTTTAACTACAGTGGAACCTCGCTTAACGAGCACCTCTCATAACAAGTAATTTGCATAACAAGCAAAACAAATTGTAAAAAGTGACTCGCTTAATGAGCGACGTTTCGCATAACGAGTGACGAGGGGGGAAGTCCCAGATTGTGCGCTTGCTACATCAGTCTGTGTTTAGCACTCGTTCTGCTAGCATCTTAGTGTCGCTTGTGATCACACATTTTTCCAAACTTGTGTTCAGACATATTATTTGTGATTTTTTTTTGCACAAAGTTTAATAACCCTTGTAAAAATGTCCCCGAAGAAAAAGCCGCAAAAAGACAGCCATAAGAGAATAAAAATAACTGCAGAAATGAAACGTAAAATCATTGAAAAGCGAGAACGAGGTGTGAGCATGGCTGATCTAGCATGCACATACAATCAGTCTACATCTACGATTTGCACGATTTGGAGTTGCATTGTGTTTCACACCAAGAAGTGTGGAGGAGAGTTTGTCAGAGGAAGAGGAGGAGGAGGTAACAGCAAAGCAACAATCTTCTGGCGCAATAAGAGAAATGCTGAAAGCATGGGAAACTGTTGCATCGTACATTGAGAAGCATCACTCTAATAAGGCAGTGGCTATGCGTGCTACAGATTTATTTAATGATAATGCTGTGTCGCATTTTTACCAAATTTTGAAGTGTCGGCAAAAACAGATGTCTCTATACAGCTTTCTAGTAAAAAGAATTAGATATGTATCATAAATAGTAATGTTATATTTTAGCGTCCTGTTGCACTGATTTAAGTCCANGAAAAAGAATTAGATATGTGTCATAAATAGTAAACTAATGTTGTTGTTGTTGTTGTTGTTGTTGTTGTTGTTGTTGTTGTGTTTTTTTTTCTGCAAATCGAATTTGCATTCCAGGTTGGTTCATTCTGCATAGAAGAAAGAATGAAGATGATTCACGCTCCTTAACAATGTATATATAATTTTCTTTGAATAAACGTTATACATAAAATTTTTTGAGTTATTTTTTTTCGACATGGAACGCATTATCGTATTTTACGTAAATTTATAGGGGAAAAATTGTTTCGCTTAACGAGTGTTTCGCATTACAAGTAAGATTCTGGAATGAATTATGCTCTTTAAGCGAGGTTCCACTGTATTCTACCCATCTAGCATCAAACTTAAAGCAATGAATCTTGTATGTGAATCAGAACTTGCTCATTTTTAAGCATCATAATTCTTGTGGGTTTTTTTTAAATACATTCATAAAGTAGAAAGTTGGAGATTGTTGCCCACAGTTATAACACATCAGTAAAGCTATCACCCAGACTTACCATTGTCAGAACCCTTTAAAGTCTACTAGTAAGATATCAGTCTGAAAAGACCCATTTAAAGCAGTAATAATGATACGCATCTCTTATTTCTGTAGACAGTGAAGTAGGGGATGCTATTGCTGGACGACTGGTCACAGATGAGCGGGAGTATGGGAAGATTCCCAAAAGGATTTATCTCGATTACCTGCAGGCATGTTCAGTCTGGTTGGGTACAAGTTACCTTGTGTCTGCATTTGGCTGGCAGGGTCTTCGTGTCTACACAGATTACTGGCTCAACCAATGGACAAACAGTGGGAACAGTACTGGGGCAAACAGCACTGTGTCTCATACACCAGAGTATGAGGTGAGAGAAGAGTCCATGCACTGACCACACATACTACAATGACTGCCTGATGAATAAAAGCTGAAAGTTTGTGATGATACAATATTGTCACCTGTAGAGTGTGTGTGACTATGGATGGGGTTATGGATAATTGGATTTATTGAACACTTACAGGTCATAACTATAAATAACTGTAACATTATTGCTGATTTCCAAACTTCACAAAATCATGCTAATTCTTTTCCAGCATGCAGTGTCTTGCATAGACGTTTCCTGGCAGTGGCTCCAAACCATGGCTATTCCTCTTCTCCTGGGCTCAAGTCCTCTCTTAATGATGGCTCCCTCCCAGTCGAACTATTATTGCTTCAGACTCCTGTACAGAAGTACTTGGTTGCTACTGTTTTCTTCCTTATAACTCCTTGACATGGACTGAGTAGAAGACAGCTCTTCCAACAGTACCTCTATTGTTGTGCACATATCCATTGCTGCAGGGACATGATTACTGAGCTGTTACCTAGAAATGGGTATACACACTGCAATATAGTAATACAACAACTGACATGGTGGGCATTATCCATTTTCTTGTTCTTATTTTACAAAATCAGAATTATTCAATTCAATTTAAGTTCAGTTCTTTATTAGTGATGTGCTGAGCCAACAGTCACAAGGCCAATTACAGACAGCACAGTGTAGATAAATGTGGTTACATACTGGACAAATACAACATAAAGTCAAAGACTAATTAAAGGTAAGCACTGGAGGAAAAACACATTACTGCATAGAAGGAAACAAACAAACAAAGTAGCAGCAGCAACAACAAAATCATCATCATCATCATCATCAAACAACAACGATTTCATTAACACAATTCTAAGTTGCTATTGACAATTGAAAAATGTAAAGTATAGATATTTAGAAATTCACCCTCTTCTTCTTATCACCAGATGGGTTTTCGCTCATCACAATGGATGGCTCAGGTAGTGAATTCATAGCAGGAGCTGTGGAACTTGGTGACACTAGGGCTACCACCCACTGTACACACAACATCCCTGTATGATTTAGCCATAGCATTATTTACTATGGCAGATGAAGCAGCCTGACGTCATGTTGATGGCAGATGAGAGGGCACCTATTGTAGTTTGCACACTTGCTCACTACTAAGCTTGAACGCCATCACAACTAAAGGCTGCACCATCTCCATTGTACAGATGCCATTTGCGTTAACCACTTCCAGCTGCATGCTGAGAGAATCTCTATCCCCTGTACATGAGGCAGTTCACTGTAATTCTGTGGATAACGCTTCCTTCTGATTACTCTTGGAGAAGGAATGCCCGTTTGCGGCATTCCCCGTGAGTTTCTTGGAGCTTTCACACTTGTCAGTGGACTTACCCGTGGATGCACTCACATTGGTCTCTGGCACACCAGTCTGCAGGCAATTACAATGAAATCATGAATCATACTTGCCACACCGAATGGATTTTTGCTTACCATAAAATGGCTTTTAACAACATGCATATGAATAAGACCAAAACATGTGTTTGAAATAAATGAAGGTTCTGCAGAATGAAGTAAACACCATATGCAGGAAACATAGTGAATCATCCCACATGTCTCTGCTAGATCATCCAATTAGTCAACTTAGCTTGGTTATCTCTCCCATCTGGATTCCAACCACGGAAGACAAAGTCAGAAAAGTACAACTCCATCCAATTTCGATTATATGGGAATGTTCCATTTTTGTGTTGAACTATATAGATGTCTCATTCATTTAATACTTAACAGTATTGATTTATTTCTTCTTAGGTCCTCATTTATGCAAAAAAAAAATAGCTGCTTTAATTCTATTCATCTGTGCTTATTGGGTCTATATTGTCATGACTTGAGGGATGTGAATGTAGATAGGATATGGATTAGATAATTGGATTTATTGGCCACTTGTACACACCACTCAGAATTACACATAATCACTGATCTACACACTTAAGGTTCACTGTTTCAAGCACTAGTGTCCTCAGTCTGTTACAGTCTCCACTATCCATTTCCTGGCAACAGATTTTAACACAGGAAATATAACAGTCTCACTGAATTACACTCTCCAAATACCATGGCACTGTAGCACATGTAAAGTCATCTCTTCACAGCCTAATTCTTTCTTCACAACTGAACTGCCAACTCTGAACTCACTCTCTTGATTCCTCAATCCCTTGAGCTGGCCTAGGTTTCTCGTTATATAGCCCTGGGGCGGACCCAACCGAAGATATTATCTCTCAACAGTACTTCCACAGCTGGACGTTGTCGCAGGAACGTGTTTACTGAGCAGTTACCAAGCAACGCATGTTCCTTCTCATGATTGTTGCATGGCAACAGTGCTCCATGCTACAACATTTACTTCTATTTTCTCTTATCTGTAATTTTAAGCATTAATAAACTATATCCTGTAATTGATTTTTATAGTATGTATATTTGGCCTCTTTTAATTAATAGTTTCAGATACTTTCAACTTTGCCTTAGAATATGCAATTAGGAAGGTCCAGGAAAACCAGGTGGGACTGAAATTAAACGGGACACATCAGCTGTTGGTCTATGCCGATGATGTGAATCTACTGGGTGATGATGTAGATACCACAAAGAAAAACA